ATGCTGCACTGCATCTTTCTGTTCCAGATCTATTCCCCTCCACACTCCACCTGACCAATACAAACCCCCATTCTGTTCGTCTGTGGTTGACTCAAACTCCCCAAAGCGGTGCGGCCGGAACCCAAACAATCCCACAACCACTTACGGTTCATGCAGGCACAGAGAGGGAAGAGATCCATTTCGGGAGGAGCAATCACGCACATTAGGCATGACGTCAAAACGAGAATTCGAATAGCAAGAAAGCTCTGACAATCTCCGTAAAGACACATCTCTGGCTAGCCACATAGACTATCAGCAAGCGAGCGAGCGAGATGTGAAAAAATATCTTGTTGTAGCCTGTTGGCCTGGTCCTTAGGGGTTAAGTTTGACCTCACGGGGAGATTGCACCAAAGCACCTGGAGATCCACCACAACCACCACAACCACCACAACCACCAAGACCTACTCTACTTCAGAAGAGTTGGTAGAGTAGTAGGGTTTGGTTGGAGATGCTTGGCTCCTTCTCATTCCCGACGTGGGTTCGTTCGTTCGTTTGGGTCGCACATGACCCAGACCAGGACTGGCGCAATGATCATCTCAGCTGGGTCTATACCACATCTGTAACCGTTCCAGCGCAACATGTCACAGATGGAGCTTAGCTGCCCTAACCGCACTCCCAATTTAGGAAATATGAACTGACCAGGTAGGGTAGAATGCGGAACTCACTCGTCCGAACGGGGGAGGTGTAGAGTAGAGAAGGAGCAGGAGGAACAGGAGTAGTCTAAAGTGAGTACAGCAGCACCTTAGATGTAACGGTGTTGTGTTTTGTAATTGTCAGACAGTTCACGATGCTTGTGCTGGGGACAACGATAACGCTTCTGCATGATATTTATGCGGTGCGCGTAAAGTGATGGGCGAGGTCACGGGCGGCGTGATATTCTCACGTGCATTCGCGTGTATCAACGAGCAAAGGGAATACAGGAAGGGATGGTGATGATAAAATAGGGAGTAGTCTGTAGGTACCACATATCTCTACTCTACTAGATATGGAAGTGGTGGTATGTAGTGTACATCCTCTAGGCGTAGCGCTTCCGCGCGCGGCTTCTCGTAGCGAGTCGGAAGGCCTACGTAACGCACAGCACCTATGTGCGTGCGTGTGTATTTCGCTTATGGTTTGGTTATGATTATGAGGGTGTGAGACGGACAGAACAGAGTTGTTTGTAAGGACGGACAGGGAAGGGGAAGGTAATTAGTTGAAGGTGTGTGTGTGTGTGTGTGGGACATCATTCGGGTATGTACCGTTGTGCACCCCCGACGTTGACGGCCGCCGGTGACAGGAGTGACAGCTATTTTGCATCCCCGTTGGAACTTCGGAGAGGTCTACGAGAACGGATTTGTTTCCCTTTCGAATTCTTTAACTTCCTCTCTCTCGAGATAGAGTATGTGTGTGTGTGTGTGTGTGTGAGTGTGTACATGTAGTGAGGTGTGTGGGTGTGTCTTCCCGTAAGGTATCTTGTTTAGACAGCCAGCCCAGTGGAATAGTGGACCCTGAATTGGTTGTGTAGGAGGAGGTCCCGGCAACCCTCCGATCCTTCGATAGTGGAACAGTTCATTGGTGAGGGATGGTGGGATGTGATATTTTCATTGCCCATGTTTCTTTTTCTGGATGGTTTGCTGGCAGCGTTTCCGGGTCTCTGGGTTTTGTCGGTTGGGTCTCTTGTTTGCTTTTGTGAGTCGTAGTGGCCGTAGTTCACTAGACGTTCCGAAACACGCTTACACAAGTAGCTACAAGCGCTAGCTATGTAGCTGCGTCTTCTGTAACAAAAACCTTCTTTTCTTCTTGAATCACCTAATAATTATACAGCTAGAGTAGTACTACTGCATGTCGAAGGCCGGATATATAAATTTTTTGTTTTTCCGTATACATCTTGACTCCTCTTCTCAATGGGGAGAGTTGAAGGTCTCACTGGGGTCCAATTGCACTCAATATCAACCGTGCACGGCATTCCTGCGCCGTAGGTCATCTTAACTGAGCACTTCTCTTTAGCACCTTGAGAAAGTATTGACATGGGGGCGCCAACGGGCCGGGAAAAACTATCGGAAAAGTCCGTCCCCTGTACGAAAAAAAAAAGTTATTCCCTACATCCCATGTCTGTCTCCAGCCTCAAGAGGAGAGGAGAATGGGAAGGGAAAAAAACGAAAAAAACACGGACACACACAAGGTGACTCTGTTGGACCTAGTGTTCAAAAGATCATCCCTGAGTGAGCTTTGCCCTACGAATACAGACCCGCTCTCCTCTTACTCCCTTGTTGGTTGAACGGAGATGGAAATGGAAGGAGAAGACAGGTCCGGATTTCGGTGAGGGTACCGCTGCCTTACGGCAGCTCACACGAAGGAATATCCCACAATGTGTTCGGCTCCTAGTTACCGTGCTCGGGGTCGATATGAAGTCCGTTCGTTCTCAGCCTAGTGACATAATGATGATGAGGGCGATGCTGAAGATGTTCACAAAGCTTTTTTTTTTCTTTCGAGGGGATGCGTAGCATGAGGTGTGTCGATAGGTTTGTCAGTAGTGCAGACAAGTAAAGTACTCGCGACCAGCAACAAGAACCCGAATGTGCAGCTGCAAGTCTTTGGTGTGTTTTTGACTTCTACTCTAATGGAAATTGCAGATTAGGACGTGCATTTTCGGGTTCTTGTTGCTGGTCGCGAGTAAGTTCATACATGTAAAGTATTATTCCCAGGGTCAAGTTACGTTACGGAAGCCAACCAAATAAAGCCGTTTGGCACGCGGCCCCATCCCTAGAATCCTTCGGAATCAATTGGACTGTGTAAGCGGATGAGTGCATGTCATGTCGAGACGCAGTTTTTTTTCTTTCCCTTGTGACGATTTTTGTTAGTCGTTACGTATATACCCTTCTTTCACTTGGTGAAACAGAGAAGCCGTATTATCTCTTGGGAGACTAATTCAAATATCGAGAAGGTATATATGTCTTAGGTAAGATTTTGTGCGGACAACAGGCGCCTCACAGAAGTGTAACTTGTGGGTGGCTTTGTATTTTGTTGCTTCTGGTGTAGGTAACTAGCCACTGAGATCGTGAAGCCGGACTGTATCAATTGCACGGACAATTGTTCAGTAGTATCGATGTGATTGTTTCTCTCTTTCTCTCGGCGCAAGCGAACAGACGACGACGTCGTGCCGACACCCCGATAAACCACACATCAATGGTAGCTGTTAGACTCTGGGGCAAGCATTACTCTGTTCTGGGCACAGAGGGCATTTACTAGGAATACCATAGTACCTGGACCTAGCCATCTATCCCTTCCCTACAACAACGACCCCTCGTCCTCCTCCCCTTGACGTGGGGAAGGGGCAGATGTGCTGAGATGGCTCAGCCCAACCCCCGTCATCATTTTGCCAAATAACTATCCCCGTAGAAATTCACACTGGGGGATCAGCAATCTAAAGCAAGGGAGCTAGGGACGGTACCTACTCCAAGTAAGTGGTTTCGACCTTCTGGAGGTCCGTTTTGTTTTTCAGGGTCTGCCAGTATGTCAGGCTATTTTTTGACCCTCTTTGTTTTGAAGTGAGGGATAGTCAGTTCGTACGATTATCGGACGGGGGGGGAAGGAGTGTGTCTGTTCTGTTCTGTCTATCTCGTCTTGTTTTTGGAAGTGGACTCGTGTTGTTAGCTACTAGTAGTGGTTGTTTGGACCCCTTACCAAACTCAAGTTGTGGCTGAATCATGAATCTTCCAGGGAGCTTCTGTGGCAGGAAACAACAGTGCGTAGCCCGAGCACCTGCATAACCCTACAAAGGTCTCACAGCTTCGCCGGACAATTTTTTTTACTACTGATACCTACATACATATTATACATCTTTTTGTTAATATTTGTTACAATCGGGGAAAGGAAGGCATCACACACACATACATTCACCCTTGGGCTCTGTTCTCCGCCTCCGCGCACTTCTGCAACCTAGAGTACTAAACCATCTGGTTGTTACTTCTTTTCTGCACGTCGAGTACTCCATCTCTCTCTACACACTCTCTCCATTCTCTTTTCGTGATTATTTTCTTATTTTCTTTATCTTTCTTTCTTTTCTAACCTCTCCCCCTCTCTCTGTATGCACATGTGGTCACAACAGTAGACAGCAGTAGTAGCTAAAGAAGAAGAAAAAGGAGATATCTTACATTCCTTTGGTCGTTCTCGGTATTTTCCTCAACATCGTCATCAAGCAGTATTACTATTTCAGCTATCCCTTCATTTTTTCCTTCTTAATATTATAAAATCGTCCCATCTATTTCCATATCTGAATACCCCGGTACATACATCCAGCGGTACCTTACATACCGTACTCACCTACACTCACCAGCATCCCACCCCCCCTCATACTGTCCCCTGCCACTTTTCCAAATTCGAATCCCATTATCAACCACCCCCCCAAAAAACTACGCCGCATAGACGTATCCTCCTTTAAGCGGCTCCAGATTCAAAAATTGCAACGGTCTCTTCGGGTTTTGATCGGCCTTCCTCTTCCAACTCCCGAACCTTGTGCTACCGCAGTAAAGACCAAGCGAAATCCCACACCCACTAGTTATCAACTTTGCCGTGCGTGCTCTTCTGCAGGAACTGAATTATATCTACCCTCCACCCCCCCGGCACATAATCTTCCTTCACTATTCTAAAAGGTGAGAACACCCCCCCTCCAAATTATCCTAAATAACCTTTGGGATACCAACTGCTTCCTCCATTGGAACTTCAATTAATCAATCATAAAGCCAGCAGTACGACAGATCCTCGACTAGCAACCCCTAGACTGGGAAATAAGCCTTGCTCGTTCACACACTCTTTTATATACACACCCACATATCCACCCCGTCCACTCACATCCACTCATTTATGTTATGGTGGGGTCATATCGAATTCAATTCATAAACAAGTCCTCTCGACCAAACTCTCAAGAACTGTCACCAGAGGATCAAGCATCGCAAAGCATCACAAACCACAGCAACAACAGCATGGATTCAGTTTTCATATATGCTGCAGCTGGCCCTGCGCCTGTAAAGATGGTTAAGAGGAGGGAGTCACGCATACGGTCATCCTTCTTTGGAAGCGGACGCCGTGGAAGCTGTGACCTGGCACCTGAAGAGGCAGAGACCAGTGGGATGAAGAGTCCTTCAAGATCAATGACCAGCAGCACTTCAGATGACAAGGAGAACTCGTCATTCCTGAACCGAAGGAAGCTAAGAAAGTCAACATCACACGCCAGCCTTGCATCAATTTCCACCGCATATGAGGCTCAGAGACAAGAGAAGCTTGGACGTCGAGGGTTCACGGACTTATTGAGGGGAGGAGGTAAACAGACACCACCTACTCGACCGTCAATTGGTAGGTTGACTGGCGAAAATATGGGTCAAACAATTGCTAATATATATCATAGGTTCAAGAAAGCTTACACATCCTATAAGCAAGCCATTCAACTTCTCCCATGTCACCCACACAAACTCAACAACCTTCGGCCAGATTCAGCAGACAGAAGACAGTGTGCTTGTTCAGGATTGGCACAAGGCAGTGCGGGAATCAAGGATGCCTGGCTCACGACGAAAGACCGAGTCAACAGTTGTAGTTACACCTGCAACAGTTGCTCTTCAGAGGACTACATCTATTCGATCAAGAAAACGGGCCAACACAAACCTAACAATCTCCCCCAGGGACTCGATTGACTTCGGCCAGCCCTCACCTACTCTTTCAGATGAGAACACTATCCATACTTGCCCTCGTACACCACCTCCACGAACCACATCAAAGCATTGCCTCCGAAGCCTTGTGGAGGACCCAGTCGAAGAAGACAACGAGTGTGTATTCAGACCAGGACGTGACTCAGTGTTCCTACTGGGTGGAAGAAAGACACCAATCAAAGTAGTGAGGGAGCAGATGAGTGACTCAGACTCATCAAACTCATCAACAAACGATGAGTATGATGAGGGAATTTCAGAACTTCGTTCATCGAAATCAACACCTGATTTACTTGCACTTAGACGCAATAGTTACTTGATGGGACGACCCGTCAGCCAGATTGGTGTTTTCGACGACTCGACTGCTACTTCCGCTCAGACCAACAGAATGTCAATGGCCGGACGACGAATGTCTAAGAGATTCTCCATTCGCCCAGACGCACTCGCCCAGGATGTCGGTGATTTCCTTGACTCATGGGAAGAGGGCATTGACTGGTGCTACGAGAACGACTACGAAAACGAGGTCGATGAGATTCAATGGGATACTCCCGATTACGGCATGACACCTGCACCTTCCTGCGAGTCTCTACCAATAGACAACGACATGTTGAAGGTTCCCGAAGTCAAAGACGAGTTTGTGCTTGTGGAGAAGAGGATCACCGGTGTGTTTGAGGACAAACTTCTTCTTCCTCCTTCTCCTCAACTGACCTCGTTCCCCGATTCGACCATTGGGATCGCCGACGGTGGCTTTGAATCGTACGAACCGGAGAGTGAGGACATAATCTTCCGTGCGGCCTCAACCGCACTGAGACACCGCTCGATCAGTTCTGCCGCGTCTCTCCCAGACCTCATTCACAGCCGACCATACCGCGACGAACTCAACCGTGTGGCTCAGCAGCTCGACGATCACATCGCGGCACTAAACCAGGAGTCAACACGACCCATCAGCACGAACACTCGTGATCCTCATGCGTTCTACTTGGGAAACCGATCTAGAGCGTACTCGGAAGCCACATGCGTCACGCTTTGCTCTGATAGTACAGAGACTGCAACACCTGCCAGTGCAGATGAGATTCCCACTCCCAATAGTTCGGCTCACAACTCCTTTCAATTCACGGGCCGGGATGATGGGCGTGCTGAGAAAGGCTTATCATTCCCAGCTGCAGCTCTTCCTGGCGTCATCGAATTTGCTCCTGATGGCCTGCATCACATTGCTGCCGATGAGCAGGAATTCGTTCATTTCATCTGATTGAACTGCGTTCATCCTGTACAATTCGTGCTTTAGTTTTTTTTTGGAGGCTGCTGCTGCTGTATATTGTTTTTCTTGTACTATTATTATTATAGGGGAGGAGGGGAAGTGGGTTTCCCTCCCTCCTGACGCGTGCCTGACTGGCTATTTCTTTTACATTTCCTAGATTCTACTTGTGATTATATTCTTTGGGCGCTGGCTCTTTTCTTGTTTCATTTTTTTTCTACCAGTGTTGATAAACGGGGACTTGGGGTGTTAATTGCGGCTTTTCGTAAAAAATCTTTTCACATTTGTTTTTATTTCCATTGCTAACTAGGTCTGCATTCTACATATTTCCTTTGTCATGGTGGTCTAAAAACGGCTGGCTGGGTGTGGTGGTCTGTACCTGTTTGTTTAGGAAAAGGGATCGAGGTCGAGCAACAAAAAAAAAAAGAATCAAAAAAAATGAAGGCGAATAATAAGTAACCCTAATTGGTAACTTTTTGTTTCTGCTTTTCAAAGAATCCTTACATATTGCATCATCGTACTGCTATTTTTCTTTTGTCGTTTTCCGTTTATTCATCTTTTTTCTGTTTTTTTTCTTCCCTGGATTACAACAACCGGGGGGTACACGTACACGTTTTGGAGCTCTTTTCATTTGTTTATGCGGGTTTTTTGGAATTTGGGAAGGAAAGGGAGGGGGGGGGGGGTCGGCGGTCGTTTCGAAATTCTTTCTCGTTTTCGTTTTCATTTTATCTTTTCTATCAGGGGTGGTCTCTTTTTCTAGCATATGCAGGGCGGGGAGGGATGGGGGGCGGGGATGTTTAAATTCCTCTTTTTTTATACACTTTATAACGGACTTAATTAGAAGGTCTATGGCTCGCGCCTGCTTTGGGAAACACAAAATTCTATTTTATATTTTATATTTTTTATATATATTTTTATATACTTGTCTGTCGTTGATACCATTACTCTTCTTTCTCTTCTTATTCTTCTTGGGCTCTTTGAGTGGGTTGGTTGACTGGCTGATTTGGTTTTTGGGCCGGTTTGGGTTGGTGGTGGTCGGTGGTTGGTCGGTTGTCTGGTTGGCTATCCACTTTTGTAACTACTACTACTTTACTACCTACTATTATTACTACTCGTAGCTACTACTACTACTATTTACACTCCATCGCTACATCATTCCATGACCCCAAACCACCGATCCAGACATCCAAACTCGACACAAGTAGGGTATTCCCAACTCGCCCAACTACACGTCACTGCCACTCTACTCGAGAGTAAACACCTACTTTACATACCTACATACCACTACGTAGCTACTACATGTATCTACAAGCATGTGAAACCGCAAGTAAACCGCTCCATCGACGATACTCAACCCTTCCCACCGATTCCCGCCCGCCCATTTCAAAAAGGACTTGGTAAGCATAGCATACCCCCTCCTCCTCCTCACTTCCATCACCGGCGCTCTAGCTCTCCCCTCCTCGCCCGTGATTTCAAAAGTACCGCACTGCAGCTAGCACCCCCGGGCCCCTCCCCTGGCCCTGCTCTGGATATACGTCTTCTGGAAGCGGAGGAGCCAGGGGTAAATGGCATGGGTAGGGGTAGTAGGGTAGGGTAGGGGGTGTGGAGTATATTGGGTTGCAGTTGCAGCCGCTCTTCCTCGGTGCCGCGGCGAAGGAAGAGGAGGAGGTGGTGGTGATTAGAGAGACTCTGTGGTAGGGTTTTTTTTCTCCGCCCCCCCCCCCCCCCCTCTCTCCACTCCCCGGCTCTGGGGCAGTGAGGGAAGGGAAGGGAGGGGGAGGGGGGTGGAGGGGGGGGGGGGGTGGGTGCAGAGGCCGGGTTCGTCCCATCCATGCTCATGCTGTCTGTCTGTATATGTCTGGCCAGGTGGGGTTGTTCGGCATCTGATAGTGAGGGTATGCAAGCCTGGGCAGCAGCTATACGTATGTACGTACTGGCACGGCATGCGTACATCACATACAGCTACAGCTACGTACAGCTGTAGATAGAGTACTCTATTCTACGTACATACTGTACCTCGTACATAGGCGAGCATGCTCTAGAGTATGAAGAGCAGGTGTAAAAAGTAAACGGGCATCTCCTTCTGCTGTTGTGCAATCTGTGGCCTCGCCTATGTACATACCGACATTACCTACATACATAATCTCGCCTCGAGTAAGTAGTTTATTGCATACATAAACTCGGTAACACGTCAAATCACTAATTTGGGGGCGTCTGTACGCATGTGGAAGAGGTTAAGGTGGAGGTGGTGGAGGACATCTGTTGATCCGTGATTGCGGTGGATGGATGGTCGTACTGGTGCCTGAATTGTGCACTTTAGCTTTGCAAATCCCCGTTTTCATTCCCCCCCTCCTCCTCCAACCCATGCAGCCGCCGACTGGAAAATTTAGTATCGTGAAAAATTAAAAAAAGAGGAGGCAAAAAGGAAAGAAACAAGCCCCCGGACCGTTACATGTCACTCAAAAAGTCAGGTAGAGTCGAAGTCGAGTATGTCGAAAAGCCATGTGCCTGCCATTCACGTGGCAGACAGGCTACATAGCTTAGACATAGCTAGCAGCCGGTGAACTCAAAACGGTCGTCTACTTGTTAGCTACATGATACTCCACCTCCACCTACTCTATGGAGAAATAAAGAAAGAGAGAAAAAAAGAACACATGTAACTCTAGAGCTGAGTGATGATAATTATGATGCAATAGAGCGCCGCTCTCTACCCGTGCCCGCAACAGAAAGGATACGAGACTACGTAACGGCATCCCGAAAAGCCCAGGTCTAGGGTTCTCCGCGCACAGCGGGGATGCACGATGTATGATGGGGGGAGGGGGACCTGGACCGATTTACTCTACTCTGCACAGTTAGACCTTAGTCAGCGCGGGCGAGTGCTCTAGGCACAGTATGTGCGGTACATGCATGCGAGTAGAGCAGAGGTTGATGCTTGCTGGAATGCTGGTCCTCCCCGGAGTCCAGGTCGTGCCCAAACGTCTATCTACACAATCTAGGCTTGAAATTGTGTTATCGCACATAATGTACTCTCGGCCGGAGTATGTAGGAGCAGGAGGAGGAGGCTCAATTGCTTCTTCCCGCACCGTCCCCCCCGTACCAGTTCCGGCTGGACGTCGTTCCTTGGGATCTGAGGTTCAGTAACGGCCGGACGTGGTGGTGATCAATAACGGGTTACTGTTATACCTCCCGGTATTTTCGCCGACTTTGCTTTCTTTATTTTTTCTGGACAAGAGAAGAGAAAAAAAAGAAAAAAACGGCCATCATGACGGAGCTGGCTTTTTTTTTCTCTCTCCCTCTATTTTCTTTTTTCGTTTCCCTCTTCCAGAGAGAGAAGGGCAGAAAAAAAAATTCCCGCACATCTTTTTTTCTCATCCTCTTCTTCTTACGGCACATACAAGTTACATATTTTTTCATCCACGAGCAATTTACCAGCAAACTCCCCCATGCTCTCTGCGCCTAACTCTATCTATACTCTGTATTTTACGAATTCAACCGTCTGCAGGGGTAGTTGGAGGGAGGCTCAGTGGCCCGTTTAGGAAGGGGGGGCTAAACATAACCACTAGCTGTACCGTACCACTCTCTATCCCCCATGTCCCGCTGGGAGGTTATCAACACACACAACGAGGTTTCAGCGGAATTTGAAAAGTGTGTAGCTGGTATTTCTAGAAGTGAGAAACACCAGCCGAACATACATACAGCTGGCGGCGCCGCCGCCCATAAGGAAATCCCGCGGATAGATGGAAGAGAAGTGAGGGCGCGCGGGATACGATAGGATAGGGTAGGATAGGAATAGGGTAGGATTAGGATGGGATAGGATTGGAATTGGGGATATGTTGGTCTAACTTGGACAGTGAGGTTCAAAAATAAACTCCCCTTCGGAACCTCGTTCGACTTCTGCTCAGGTACGGAATTAAACGCAAGGCAAGAAAGCTGATGCGGCCGGGACCAAAAGCAAGACAATCAAGACAGTACGAGGCATATCATGGCGAGAACAGATACGAAGCAGACGTATGCACCTGAAAAGAAAGAAAGAAAAAAACTTGTTTCTGTAGATATGCAATTAACAATTATTACATCTCCATCTCCAAATATCCTGATCGCCGGCAGGAACGCCGCCACCATATTCGTGGGTAGGGTAAGGATCGAAGGCGGTACCTATGTGCTCTATAGACAAATCCGTACCTGAATCATCTGAATCATGCCCAAAAACACACTTCCTGTCCAAGACACGGAACAACCCACCGCAGTCAGTCCAGTCAGGCTGGGCGGTTAATAGTTCTTCCTTTCCAGGTAGATCTCGTATCCCCAAGATTGGCCGGTAGAGATTTGCGATAACTCATCTAATCTCTCGGCAGCGTGTTCCCATCCATCCCATTCCCCCTCCCAGCGGACCTAACCCAACAAACGGATAACACAACGGATAACCATCCACCATCCACCATCCACCACATACTATCACTCGGAAACCTTCATAACCGCCCCTCGAAATTTCCCGTGCCGCACCCGAGTACGCTTCATTTTCCACTTCCACCATATTACAATTGCAATAACTCTGTCACCCCGACACCCCCCCTGGTAGACGTTTTATCTATCTATCTACATAATCTATCTCCATCTAGCAAGCTAGCTAGCTACATGCAGTGCAAGTGCCTCTAGGTTTGCCACGCTCGCCGGGCGGACCACCGCCGAATCTCGGCTTGGGTAAATTTATGATGATTATCAGCCTTCTCCCCGTCCCAGTCTGCAGATCTGGGGTATCTTTTCTCCTCTACTCTACTCTATTCTGCTAGTGTAGTTGGAGTAGAGTATGATACTCGGCACCCCGGAGTTCCCGGGGAGCTAGGTGGCCCATACTTCAGGAACATGAAAGTCGTAATTACGGCATCTACCTTTTCTTCACCCCCCCCCCCCAAACCCCTTCCAAGAGAATAAGATAGAAGTTTCGAAAAAGGGAAAGGAAACGCGAGTTTATCCTCCGTCCTCATGTCAAATTAAACACACGTGAGAAGGTAGATTGATCATTGACACATGCGACCGTTCCGCAGACATGTGTGTGTGTACAAGCCGTTTTGGGAATACCTATACATAGGTGGGAGCGGAACCCTAACCCTCTATTTGTTTCACTTGTACTACATGTAATTAACTAGGGTTGATGAAGATAATATCTATGATAGCTATGGAATAAGCCCTAACATGTGCACGAATGGCCATGGATATATATGGATACGCGGCGACGTAACATTGAAAGATCGGAAGATCACGTAGCTTTCGCGTGCGTGTGCTGATATGATGTGCATCTAATTCGAGCTCGAATTTCTCTGTGTGATTGTGAATCTGGATCTCATGGGTTACAGGTTCTTCCACGGGGACCATGACGAATATATGTACAGTACGTGTGTCGTGCTACGGGGGGTAAGGGGGGAAGGGCATCTCATGGGATGTGTATATGTCGTGCATCGTGATTTCTTTTTGTTGGGTTCTTGTCTTCCTGAAGAAAAACCTAAAAACGTGTACATGTGTTGTGCAATGTGTGTACTTGTACTACTATAATTGTATTTATACTCATGTAGTATATAGTAATGTATGTGCGTGCCCCAAATCCAAGATATCTGTCTGTACTCCGCTGTAGAGAGTGCAGAGAGTGCATACTGATTATTACAAGCCTAGTTATCATTTCCACTCTCGCCATCCAATTGATCGCCATCCCAATATCGCAATCTTGCAACTACACATAATTAGTACATTATCAATCTCACAATCTCAACCAACCAGCCACATTCCTTTATGATATCAAAGGGAAGGGAGAAAACCTTATTCCCTAGGAATTGCATGCGGGGACTTATCTCTCTCTCTCCCTTGGAATACACATGCCGCAGCATACTGATAGACGAAGGTAAATCCCGGATCTCTGGAGTACGTACTGCTTATTACCCCCCCCCCCCCCCCTCCAGAAACCTATCGTGTAGTACGAATTCGAATGGGTTTCTCTATCTAGCTATCTGTATACCCCCTACCCAACAAGAAGGAATGGAGGCACAAGCAGGTAGGTAAGCGCCGGGCGCATGTACTCTACTCTCGTAATTGTACCTACATACGGTGGGTGCAGTATGTAGTATGTACCCCAAAACGGCCAGCAGAAGAGTTGATATGCCTCTAACTGCGCATGCGAAGGGACGACGTTGTCGATAAACACTACGTTTCAATGATCTACGGGGAACCCCGGTCACACACTTGCCATCTGCCCCCCGCAGGGTGCATGTCTGGTTTCATAGGTACTACTATTATTATTATAATATATAGATAACATGTATGTACTCTAGGAAAAAAATAAGGCCCTGCAAGCGAATAGGGGAAGCTCTCTTTTTAGATATGTTAGATGCCTTACGAGGCGGGGAAGGGAAAGAAGAAGCTGCATACCGTATGTACCTGCTTCTTACCGTGAGGATATTCAATAGCATGGTATCCGTTTCGTTTGTATTCGGGGCAAATGGACAAACCTAGGCTTGTGCTGGGAACCGTTCAATGATGATGGTAGTACACATTTTACTCGCCCACAATTGAGGGGCGGTTCTACATTCCGACGACCTCCGCTCGGTACTTGGGCGCCGGCAGATGGGTACCTACGTCGGCTGGTTGGTTTAGTTGGTCGTTCGTCGGTCGGTTGGCCAGTTTTGGTTGCACATATGCATCTCACTCAGCCTTATGTACCTATTGACGACGGTCGTCTGATGGTTATTCTCCGTGAGACATGGTAGCTTGCAGTCGGCTTGATTTGTGTGTTGATCACGATATTAAACTTGAATCTGCGTTTACTGAAAGTATTCCGAGTACGCGAGACACTGTTTGTTTACTAAATAATCCTGTGTCGCTGTAACTAGTAATGATTCTTGTACAACTACATGTACAGAAGTGGGTATGTTTAGTAGGTTTGGACCTTCATACTTCCTAGTTGTAACAACTACTTAACTTGGATAACCCTGAAGAAATTAGTAGAACATAAACCTTTTTTTTCTCGCTTATTGCTCTCCCTCATTCGTTTCGTTTGATACTACGTTGAACCTTGCTGTGTTCAGTTGCCGAGCTTTTTTGCCTTGAATCGACGGGTCGAGATCTTGGTTTCCTACTTGAACATATATCGGTACCAAAAGTAAGTTATCAATATGGTTTTACAGATGCGGCGCAGTAGATCCTGGGAGTTTCAAGGCCAGTACAAAAAGTCTTCAGGGAATCCTTGTTAAGGCATCAAAAAAAAAAGCAAGAAAAAAGGGAACAGTATGTAGCCTTATGATCGCTCGAAATGTGTTGGCCATGGCCCCAGGGGAACCCGACTCTCACTGGGTTACGGAAAGTGTCAAAAGGAGAGAAAAAAAGCGAAAATCGGCTGAGACATCTCGTTAGCCGCCATGCGTATAAGCTGACTAGAGTTCTCTATGTATGTAGTTGCTTGATTTGTTTTGTCAATTATTACCTAATTCGCGTCATCGCCTGTCATTCGCAGTTTGGGATATCACGTTGTCCTGTCACCTCACGTGGATTCATGTGGGTCATCGAGTGGTTGTGGGGGTCTGGACCCCAGGGGGGAACAGCATCGAGTCCTCGCCCGCTGGAGTAACCGAAACATAACCATAACCTACTGTGTCCGGGACACTTGTATTGAAAAGAGATCTTGTTGGACATGCTGCTCTAGGGATATCGCATCGGACGGGGTCTAAGCGGACTAATTTTCCGTTCGACGGATTGAAGATCACGGGACGTCTGATCCGTAAGATGTAGTTGTATGCCAAGTCTCGAGTGATAAGACATGGAGCTAAGCCACAGCTGAGGTCAATTAAACGTCTATGTGTTCTATGCAATCTCTTGCCGCCCATGATGATTCAGTTGGTAGAAGTTCGTGCTGTATCCACATACTTAGCGAATCTTGCATGGCTGTCTAGACAAGTGGTCAACACAAGGTCGAGATCTTGTTGGAGTTGGTTCGTGGTTCGGCCCGATGATTGGTTGCTGCGGTGGAGATGAGATGAGATGAGCAGAGCACGAGCCAGACCGCACACCCACCCAGCCAATGCGAGCCCGCTCCAGATGCAAGATCAAATTTCCAACAGAATCTGTTGATCTGCGAGTCATTTTTTGAAAAAGGTCAACTCCACTGTCGACTCGTTCTATGCAATGCACACACAGTAGTTGGTCAGTGCTTTGTCAAGCGAGGGGCATTATTGAAATCACCTTATGCTTTTTCAGTTTCTTTTGGATTGATTGATCGTCGTTGTCTGGACTGCAAGACATGGTCACGTAGGTACTCACTCCGAAACGCTATTGCGATTTCAATTATCAGTGGTCCTGGTTTCTGGGGAACGAAATATGATGTTTAATCAGATTCAAACGAGAGAAACGGTGATGTATCAGAGAAGAAAGTCTAGGTCAGTATATTTCAGCCGTCCCTCTCTCGGCTTGACCCGTGTCACCTAGACTCGCGGCTTGCTAGGCAATGTGGATACGTTCTGGCCCGCTGACGAATGTTTCACGAACGTTTGCCGCCAAGCTGAAACCTTGTTTGCAACCTGACATCCGTTAACAGTTGGATGGGAGATCTTATCAGATTACGCCATAATCGATGCTTATCCAACTGCCAAACGGGTTTACCAATAATTATAAGCTTATTAACTTGAACACATTGAAAAGCGAAACATGGGTCCATCATATCAATAATGTTAGAGCTAACCGCCCATGGCCAATACTACATAGAATTACTTAAGCATATATATAAGTGTTCTGCTCGATACTAAGACATATACCAAAGTTTTTCAAGCCCTTGGACAAGGCAATTTTCTCTTTATCTTCAAGGAATGTGGGTTATATGGTTATAGGCGTGGCATTTAAGCCTTTGGGTAAATAATTTTATCAATGCCCTACCCTATAATAATGCCCCGCGTATAATGACCAAATATTTTTTAAAACCGGTAGTGGGTTTATATCTAAGATAATTGCACTACTTCACTACATAGTATATACTTGCCACACAATTCAGCCACATATATATTGACTTGATACATTGAAGAGCTCCATCTAATTCCAACAGCTGCAGCTGATTCAGTTCCTGTGATTGAGGAAAAGATGGTCCGCAATACACTCTCTTAACGAACGTGGAAAAGGTATAAATTCCTCACTCTCGCTCTCTTCTTTCCCTGTGGATTTCTAAATAATTTACTCAATCACCACGACCAGTACCAAGTGCTCCTCTTGCATGCCGTCACCATCAACGATATCTACTACTCTAAAAACCCTCACACGTAAAGACATGATGTTATAAACAGTTGTGGCAATCTTCAAAAATGACATTCGGCATTGTGAAGGCCTGCCCATAACCTGAATTATATATACTTTGGGCTCTGAGCTTTAACCTACCCGCCAATGGCACTTCTCCGAGAGCCCGCCGCTGCTAAACTTCCCATTGAAGCAACCACAGTGGGAGACCCTGTTTGATAGCTCGAAAACTTCGGGTAGAACATCTATATGCCGCACCGTCGTGATCACATATCCGAGTGATATTTCATGATCGTATTTCCTAATTTACCTGATGGTGAAAAGGAATGGAATATATATAACAACATCTAGACCCTTAGGCCGAGATAGTCTACCGAAGCTCCCAGAGGGTAAAATGGAGGTACTGGGGAGAGGGATTATCACGCCAGGTGAGCAGAACGTCATATTAACCAGATGTATCTAGATAGATGTTCGGTGTAGCTCATAGGTCATGATCAACGATGATTGTTTACCTATATACCAGACCATCGGCTAGTGGTTAGCCGCGATCATAGTTGATAGATTCTGCGTTCGGAGTGATGTCTCATGACCCACTGCAAGGTCGCTCTTACCTACAGTCCGGGCGAGTCGACTGCTCTATCGATCACTGGGGCGGGCCGGGGGATGTACACACTAACCCGCGTGTACCCTATTCGGACCTACCTTAGCGTCGAACCGCATACAATTATAAGCCTTATTCAGCCGGCTTATCCAGAACGTAGGCTCACAATAGCCTTATCAGTACAAAAAGGTTCAGGTAAGTGCTATTTAAGCATGTTTTAAGGATGAAATAAGGCTTAAAAAAGGGTTTTTGTACTGATAAGGCTATTGTGAGCCTACGTTCTGGATAAGCCGACTGAATAAGGCTTATAATTGTATGCGGTTCGACGCTAAGGTAGCGAAGCTTGTAATCTCGAGAGCAGATACAATGCATTCCTCACAACAGAATCCTGGGAAGGATACAGCCAATACAGCACAGCACCATCATTCTATTTCGACTCCTGTGCTATCGAAACACAATCTCCATCTGTAAGACCGAGCCCTCACTGCTCTAACGCTAGTTGTTAATCTAACCTCATGCCTGATGCTCCAAGACTATTGTGTAGACCGTTTAAGTTGTGTAAAACTTTGGTAACCACCCCCGCTCCCTCCGCAACAACCAAGCTAAACCCCACCCATCCTAGCGGCACCACCACCAAGTATTAATTAAGTACCAAAAGAGCCTAAATACCCTTCCACCGCTGCCAACTTTCCAGCAAGGGGCGTATGGTTTAGGGGTATAATTTCTCATTTGCAGTGCCTCCTCGAGGCAATGGAAAATTGAGACGGTCCTGGGTTCGATTCCCAGTGCGTCCAGACTTCTTTTTTGCTTTCGCTTTGGTGTGGTGGTGGTGGGTGTGAGTGCGGATGGAGATGGGATGAAGTTTTTTCTTTCTTCTTGTAGTCGCGGTTGTGGTTGTGTGTTGGGACTGGCATTGGGGGGTGGGTTGTTGATGTGTGATTTTTGCTGGCATATATCTGGCGAGGTATTGCTTGTTGGATGGCTGTTTAAGATCGGTGTGCTCCAGCCTTCATGTTCCTATAAGCGGTGGATACATACATGTATTTGTATTATAGCCTTGCTTATTATCATAAAAGAAAAGTTAATGTAAATCCCAAATATTGGTTGTGATGTGTCTTCCAGCGCCGGTGCATGTCCAATCTGGTGCATATGTATTCTTGTATCTGATCTGAGTACAAGTATCCACATCAACATGAAAGATAGTCAAGCTCTGCAGGGTCGAATAGATACCATTGGCCCGCTCGGCCGGCCATGCCCAGCTCTGTGGCCCGAAAGCCGGGTCTCTGGGCGGCGCAAGGAGATGCGAATTGAGCCTTATATTATATAATGAGTGGTGGTGGTTATCGGGGTCTGTTCGTCTAGTTGTGCTGGCCGGTACGTATACCCGAGGATGGTTTAATTCGGGGGTTAAAGACCATATCCCGACGGCAGTGAATTCATCTGCGCACTGCCGTGCTAATTTATGTCGAGGCAAGAACATGACGATACGGTGGTCGGTAGTTAGGCATCTGCAGAAAGCGTCCGGCCGGGTGGTACTGTGTTTGTAGTGTTACGCGCGTGTTCTCAGGATTTCGACTTTGAATTGTGCTCTGACGTGACAGATAGAGGCAGGTGCGGTCTTGACGAAGTGTGTAGGTGGTTGGTGGAGATGGGAAGTGGTGAAGTGAAGTATGTTTGTGTGAGAGCCCCCCTTCCAGCAGCGGCCGGGCCTACCAGGTGTTCTTTTTTGTGCCGGCCAGGCCGAATCATCAGGCCGGTGGTATTTATATGTGCTTGCTATTTGCCAGATCTCCGAGAGTTTTTTTGGCCGATGAACCGATCAGTCGGGCTTCAGGAGCTAGCTATATAGGTAACTATAGTGCATTTATCTAGCTATAGGACCGACCCAGTATATCACGAGCGGACACGTACCACTTTAAGTTTTCGTAGGCCAATGACGTTTAGATAGAATACGTTATATTTATAATAACAAAGTGAACTACCTCAGTATAGTCAGAGCTACTCAATACAAGTATATCGTAGTCCTTCGTGAACTGCGCATATATTCAAAGTTGGGTGTATATGTAGTTCCAATCAATGGCAACCACAGTCAATGATCACGAGGCCAACAATTTCTTCCGCCCACCCTCCAAACCCACAAATAAATAACTACCAACCCCACCTACTCCCCCATATGCCTACACAACATCCTCCCGCCCGCAACCTGCACAGCACACAACCCCCCCTGCACCCTCATCCCCACCACACTCGCCACTAGTACCGCAACCGTATCCGGCGGCGCCACCGCGCTCAACAGAAACTCCCGCATCGCCCTCTCCCCCTCCTCATCCTCCTCCCCACTCCCACCGAGTAAGTGATACCCGCCTCGTGCGCGCCCTAGCTCCTTCCACACGCCCTTCGGTAGAACCCCGTTCCGCACCCGCCAGTAGGTCTCGCTGAATGCGAAGCCGCCACACAACCCCATTGCTGCGACGGCGCAGAGGACCGCTGGGGGCCCATAGAGCGTGTTGGGGAGGTTCGAGCTCATGGAGAGGCTCTCGGCGACTTGGAGGGTGAGGATTATCGCCTGGAGGAGACATAGGATTGCCGTGCCGGGCGGGCGGAAGAAGGAGATGCTGGAGCGCCCGATGAAGATGGAGAATTGGTAGACGGTGACATAGACGGGGTAGAAGTCTCTGGTATGGTGGAACACTTTATTGAGAAGTCCATGGTCGCTACTGTTGGGGAATGGTAGCGGAAAGAGAAGTGTTGGGAGTACGCCCTGGACGACGGTGTTTTCGAGGAGCATGATGAGCGCGAGGGGCGCCATGTACCGCCAGAAGAGCGGGCGGGCGATCCGCAGCTTGGAGAGCGTGGGAGGGAGGAGATGCTTTCTTCTGCTGTGCTGCTGCGCCGGCTACTGGTGGGGAGCGCCTGCCTTACGGATGTGCACCTGGGGTCGGGGAGTAGGAGGGCGTAGGTGAGAAGAATGACGACTGGGAATATTCCGATCGCGGAGATGGTTCCGCTAGGTGAGAAGTGCAGGGTAGAGGTGCTGAAGGTGTATATGAACGCACCCACCAATGCTGCACATCCACTGCCCGTGGTGTAGCCACCGAAGGCGGTACTCGGATAGTGAGAGCAGAGCTGTAGGAACGACCTGTCCATCCGATAGTCTTAGCAGGAGTTATCAGAAAATAGGGCAAGGTGGAAACAACATATCACCCAGATTGCTGCTCAGACTAGCCATAGCTATCCCCAGTAGCCTGATACCAGTATAGTCCGCCCAAGCCAGCAACTGCAGCCCAAAGAAACTACTCAGAATACAGATCGTTAGGCGCAGCGGATAGTTGACATGTGCCGTTAGCGAGTCCGCAGACGAATATAAGCTTCCTCCATGCTCCACAGTCATGCTGTTAGTGCTAGCAGTAGTGGAGGAATAAAACTTGTCCGCATCATCCTTTCCCCTGTTTTCCCTACGGAAAAGGCGGGAGAGAAGCTTGTTAGGACTGCTGCGGAGCTCGGGAAAGCGAATAAACGGGACGAGGGTGCGAACGAGTACGGAGGGCAGCGTATATGCGAAGAGAATTGACCCTATGGGCGCGCGGTCTCGTACTAGGCTGGTAGGTCTTTTATTAGAACGGGGGATATTCAGTCTTTTTTTCTTTCTGTTTCTTGTTCTTTTTCTTACTCGTTTGCTGCGGTAACGACGACACTGTTCTGGTTAGATTATAGTCTATCTGGCTGATATGGTGGCATACCTGAATTGCATAGCGATCAGAGTCCCGAATAACAGAAACGAGAGAAATAGCCGTACGCTGGGTGTGAAAATCGTACTGGCATGACTACTGGTACTGCCTTCTAGCTCTGAGGAGACGCTATCTTCGCTGCTTCTGTGGGTTTGCATGGTTGTGTATACAGATGCATAGAGCTGTGGAGTTCGGGTTGAAGTATAAGCTAAAATGAGGATGTTGGCGTTGGTTGTAGTTGATAAAACGTAGTCAGCTATGTGGGGGGGGGGGGTCTTTCTCCCCGAGCCACAGTAGCGGTGGGCGAGCGTGGGGTCAAGTCAAAACTATCACGCGGTTACAGCAGCTTTATTTGTGTGCTAGTCCAATCGGAGGTGAATATAATTTATGCCTAGAGTTCTCAAATTCAAAGGCATTAATCTCGTGGGCTCGTGCAGCATGTGGCTTTCCGCTGGATGAATTTGTTCGTCCAGTCAGTATGGAACTGGACGTGCCTACATGTGCATAGGCCTAGGCGAACTGCTGATGACCTTGTCACGATTAATAACCCTGGGCCAATCAGCTTTAAAAGAATACGCCATGAATCTAAGCTAGTCTTAGGCCGAATTATACAACTAGCAGTGGTGAGGTCAGGGCTTGAAGGTCATCGACTCTCACTCATTTATCACACACTTCTCTACAGCTGGTTTCAAAGTATTTAAATCTTTTGAATAAACTGACCCTAGGTGTCTGGTTATACTAGACGAAAATGTATGATGTGCATGTAGGTTCATTCCGGCCTGCCGCTTGGAAGCCAAACTCAAATGCCGGGTACGTAGCGAACTATAATTCTCAAAAGCCGAAAGGTTTTTGGAGAAAGGTGGGGGGAACATATGCAGGCTAAACATACATAGAAATATCGTTAGTTACACTGTACCTAAATGTAAGTACTTCCATGTAGAGTACCTGTCCCTAACAGAATCACTCTGGTAAAGATCTTCAAGCGAGTGATAGTCAGTGATTTATAGATTTGTCAGCTAGAAAGCTAATAAAGAAGCACTAATCCTTGATCACCCAATCAACGGATGGCAAGAATTCGGCTAGTCTCATCTCAGGAACGAACTTGATTTCACAGTAGTGTAAAAAAATTAATTTTAACATTCCCCGTTATGGGAGTGAAAGGTGATGATCAAATACAACATGCACCAAGTGGCGACTAATTATAAGGATACAAACTCCTAGAAACCTTCAGAACTTTCAAACTTCCTGTTGTAAAATCTTACGAACTAGAACCGCCTATGACTTTTCCCATCATATCAGATCCCCATTATATAATCTTTCCGCGCAACGAGGAGTCGCAGATCATTTCCACGCGGAAAACCTTCATTGCGAAAGTATCGGCTTTTTGATCTACTTCTCCTAGAGGCGTTTTATTCTGGCCATGTAAGTAGTAGTAAAATTTTTTCTCGATTAAAATAAGTAAATAAACATCTCTTCTTAGGTTACATAAAACATTACTTGGATTTATAATATTACGAAATTTGATTACTAAATAGTAGAATTGCGGGGTAAACCCCCATCAAAGGTTTTCTCCGCAGGGTGCCTCATATATGTCTATAATTAGATTTCTAGAATGCACTTGCTTTGGTCCTTGGATATAAAACTCCCCCGCCGCCGCCGCCGCCGCCGCCGCCCCTGCCCCCTCCCTCACCCCCCGCGGCGACGAATAGACTAGAATAGCAGACCAGTTCACACTTTCCGAGCAATCACTCCCTGGAGGCAATTCAGTATCTATATACATAAAACTTGTTCTTCGATGGTTAATCTCGAGGGGCGAGTGACTCGGGATAAATAGGCTCTACTCTTTTGTCAATATTAAAATAACCTATGCTGAGTCATACGATCCGATACTTGGCGAAGCATATGTGGTTGGGCTCAATTAATGCCGGCCTGTACAGAAGATTCATGCATCGTAACAGTATCCCGAAGCGATTGAGATTTTCGTTCGTATTTGACATTATATGCCTGTTCCAATTGCCAAATTTCTATAGGTTTATATTGTCTAGGTCCAGTAGGGTATATGTAATGAAGCAAGTAAAAAAATGAAAAGAAAGTCTATACCTCAGCGGTTCATCTTACCGTGTCATCTGACTTACCGGTCTGGCGTTTTATTCGGATCCGTTTCAATGCTGAGACGAATGGGTTGAGTTTTGTTGGTCTACTGCACTGCGGGGAGCACGCATAGTGGGGCGTGTTTACTGCACTTCGTTGTTCACCTAGTTCACCTGGAAGGTTGGGAAAACATAGCAACAGAACTGAAGTCATGAATTGCCAAATGTGCCACTCCTTAAACGAGAGCCTCCACGCCACCCTCTTCTCCACCGTTCAACTACAGTTCCCACAAAGTCGCGCCCGCCTGGCTCTCCTCGACTAAAAACAAAAAAGAGCACTGGTTAGTACTTACGGACAATTCGCAAGGTACGGGCAAATCGCTCCTTCTTCATCAGGCAAAGCTTTATCATTGAGCTTTTTCATCTCTTCATCAGTGAGTTCGAAGCCATAAACATCTGCGTTGCTCTTAATCCGGCCCGGGTTGTCACTCTTGGGTAGTGGCACAAATCCATTTTGGAGGGACCATCGCACAAGCACCTGGGGGACTGAGACGCCATGTGCCTCGGCAATGGATTGAAGGGTTGGATCATTGTTCTTCTGGGCTCGAACCAAGGGTGCATAGGCCTGTATATCTTGTTAGAATGTCGCCGGGAGAAGTCACAGGGAGGAGACGAACCTGTACGACAATGCCATTTTTCTTGCAGTAGTCGACAACTTCACGTTGTTGACACCAAGGGTGCAGCTATAAGAAAGTGAGCTTTGGTGAGCTGTGGTGAGCTGAGGTGAGCTAAGTAGATAAAAAACAAACCTCTATCTGATTCACTACTGGAGTAGTCGAGGAGAACTCTTTAAGCTGCTCTAGGTGCTTTACTCCACTATATATAATATTAGTTTTGAGGTTGGGATATTTATTATACAAAATGAGGGGGAGGGGGGACCTACAAGTTACTCACACCGATATCCTTAGTTCCTCCCTCTTTTTTCAACTCCTCCAACGCGGTCCAAAGCCCCTTTCTTCCTTCCTTTCCACTGGAAGGAGAGTGGATCAAGAATAGATCCACATACCCGAGCCCAATCCTCCCCACACTCTCCCTCAATGACTGCAGCGTTTCCTCAACGTTTCCAACGGGTTGTATAACTTTCGTAGTAACATAGACGCTCTCACGTGGTAGTCCACTCTCGCGAACTGCCTCGCCTACTTGGGCTTCGTTTTCATAGTATTGAGCTGTGTCAATGTGACGGTACCCAAGTTTAAGAGCAGTTAGGCAAGAGGCCTTGCATGTCGATCCATCTGAACGGAAGACCCCGAAGCCAATATGAGGTATTGTTTGAGATGAACCGGTGAGAGGAAGAACATCTTTGAATGATAGTTTGCCCATCTTAATTAAACGAGATTGTAAATATTTGATGGAATAGAAGGTTGGACGGATGCAAGGAGTAGTACTAGGAGCTCAAAGGTTTGGCCGAAAGCTCAAAATTTGAGGGGACGCCCCTTAAACATAGCGGGGTTAAAGGCTCGGGTATTGTGACGTAATCCAAGTATTTCCCAGTAGCAATTATTGGATTTGTCTCCTGTCACTTGCTGGAACAGCCTGTATGTAAAACTTAATAATCGCGGCTTGTTTATTACAAGTCGCGACGAATAGCCAAAACAGGTTAGCCTGTATCAAACGACCCATCTCTTCGGCTAGGTGAAGCACTGTCTGGCCTCAACCCATGTTAGGCGAATGGAAGCTATCATGTCATCTATTTACCTCCATGTACCTAAGATGTATCTACAGTACCGTACAAATCTAGCTGCCGACATGCTCTACGTTGTACATATGTATCTGGTTCGAGTATAGAAACCAATAACTACATGTAGTATTTGGTCCCTGGGTTATATTATTGTGATTGCCGGCGCCGCTCAATCGAGTCAATCAAAAAGACACTTTAAAGTGCCTTTTCCTCGTAGAAATCTTTGAACCCAGGAGAAAAGGAACGACTTTTCAGTAATTCGTGGTATGTGCATTATTATATCATTGCGTCGTTGTAGGACTTCCAGTGCGCTCTTATAATGAGCCCGTGCGTACGTTCACTCCCTCCAAAATTGCAACCATATTTATTTCTCATATAAGAGTTTACTCATGACGTTAATTGATTTAGTTCCTCGAAACGAATCTTACATGGAACATATGGGATCTAACATATTTTTATACCGCTGCGAATCTTAAGTTTTAAGCTCTCTGCCTCTATGACGGAATTTAAGTGGATAGAGGCATAGAAACGATCGCGTTTGGAATGACTACTCGTGACTGCTATATATATGTTGATCATTGCTGGAGGAGGTCGAAGGTTCCGATTATCAAAATTTTCGATTCCTGCTTGCCTCAACTAGGCCCAAATTCTTACAAAGGTCACAGTAGTCGTACTCATAATGGACCAAAACACATGTAATGTCGTGGTGTTAAACGAGCTTGAGGATTTCTTAAAACGTTCATATTTTACATCAACCCTCGATATTTCCCAACAAATCAACTCCATCAGGCCACACAGGATTCAAACAATCGTCCAGCTCCTCGAAGAACGTGAAAAATGGGTACCCAATCTACCGGCAGTAGCGATGGCAGTTCCCGGAGTTTATCCTGAGGACGAATGGGGAAGTCGACGTTTCTGTGAGTATATCCTGTGTCCCATACTTGGAGGATACTTATAAAGATAATAACCACCTTTCGAAGCGTTTTTGGAACTGTCCAGAGTTTCAAACGAGTTGGCCCACATAATGGTCTTGGACGGGGTTGTCCCAGTCGTCTCCGAGGATGATATTGTGAAAGGTCCACCTCGTGTAGCTATACTATCCCAAAGCTCCATCGAACTCCTTATAAACTTCCTGGCGCTAATCAGGATTGGTTATACTGTGGTATTAATTGCGTAAGTATATTCAATTGGGTGCTTATCTTGAATGCTGACCAAGTTTACTTTTAGGCCTCAGTGCACAGAGCGTGCTGTATCTCACCTCCTCAAAATCACGGAGAGCACACATGTACTACACTCACCATCACTCACTGAGCTTGTAGCATTATCCAAGCCTCAATCGTGCAAAAATCATACTCTACTTGATATCCCTGTGTCACAGACAGCTAAGCGATATATCACTCCAGCTGGAATTGCCGGCTCAACGACTGCATACATCCACCACACGTCTGGAACCTCGACAGGTCTTCCGAAGCCTATCCCGCAAACCCACGCAGCTGCAACCTTATACTTACCATGCCTTCCACCTGCATCTCCGACTGCAGCCTTTACTACAACACCATTGTATCATGGCGGTACGGCAGATTTGATGCGGTCACTAATGTCATCCTCGTTGCTGTGGTTATATCCACCATCAATTCCGCTGATTAGTCGCAACATTATCAAGGTTCTCCAAATTGCGGAAAGAGACAAACTACCGATAAAACTCTTTACCGCGGTTCCTTATGTTATTGAGATTTGTGCGGGGCGCGAGGAAGTCATGAAAAGAATGGTTGAAATGGATATGGTGGGGGTTGGCGGAGCACCACTAGCAGTAGAGGTCGGCACAAAGCTGGTCAGAAGAGGGGTCAAGCTTATCTCACGATTCGGAAGTAGTGAATGCGGATGTATAAAACCTACATATAATGACCTCTTACAATATTGATAAACTAACTCACGTGGTAGTTTTAATGTCATCCTATCGTGATTTCGCCACGGATCAGAATTGGGATTACCTGCGGGTTCTGCCCGGTTGCACCACCCTCCGCTTCGAGCCGCAAAAAAGCCGTGGGAAAGTTGAGCTTGTTGTCCTTCCAGGATGGCCACAAATCGTGTGTGCTATCCCATTACGATCCCCGTCGTATAATCATAACTAATCACTCGTTAGGCCAAGCCCAATCGCCCGGATGGATCTTATGCCACAGGTGATCTATTCTTGCCGCACCCCACTATAGAGAACGCGTACAAGTACGATGGACGAAGCGATCTCATGATTGTGCTCTCCAATGGGAAAAAATTCGACCCCACTCATATCGAAGAGGCCTTCAAGGAATATAGCCTGGTAAACGAGGCAATGGTTTTTGGAAACAATCGGCCATTCCCGGGGCTCCTTCTTTTTATGAACGTTCACCGAGTACTATTTGGCGGTATCAAAGAGTATGTTCAAGAGGTCAACCAAAAGACGCATATCAGAATCATGGAAGAGATGGTAGTTGTGCTGTGTGCCGATGAGCACCCCCCGAAAAACAGCAAGGGGACAGTTATGCGGGGAGCTGTTGACGAGATGTATTCTGAGGAGATACAGAAGGCATATGAGATGTTTGAATGTCACGGCTCTGGAGAAAGGATGAAAATTACAGATCTTCAGGGTGTAACGGATACAGTGCGTGCCATTGTTCGAGACATAACTGGTAAAGAGGTCGGTGACGATGTGGATTTGTTTAATTCTGGAGTTGATTCCGTCATGACTGCGCAGATACGCAACAGATTAACAAAGGTTGGTGAAGATCGAGCATGGGGTTATAATGAAACGCTAATATCTATGCAGGGTCTGGACATCCAACAGCCGCTGCCGCTGAATGTAGTTTTTGAACAAAGGACTATTGAGGGGTAAGATAATGGCCACTTTATCCTGTTATAATGGCTCCCAGATAGCCGGCTGATTCTATAATTATTCAACGGTAATATAGGGTTGTAAGGTTCATAACAACTTGTGGGGAGGCGAATGGGGTTTCTTCTGATCGGCAAGAGGAGTTGATGCTCCAGTTGGTGCAAAAATACACTGACAGCATCGGTATACGTAACACGGATCTAGGGAGGCCTACCGATACCAAAAATGACCATGTAATTGTAAGTCTATCATCCAGCTTTTTGAGGGCTCCAGAACTTATAATCTGATAATTGTCCAGATCATTACTGGTGTTACGGGGGCTTTGGGCGCTCATATATTTAATCAATTAAATAATTCTAGGGGGGTATTGCAAAGATTGTATGCCTTTGCCGTGCCAGTGATGATTCACATGCACTTTCTCGTGTTGAGAAGAGTCTAAAGGCACGTAAACTACCAGGGCTTGGTGGAGTTGGTCCTAAGGTGATGGCCATTGCTGCAGAACTAGGGTGCGAATATTTGGGGCTTGATAAAAGGATCTACGACCAACTGAAAGAGGAAGTCACACGGGTTATTCATGTAAGGAGCCTGTGTATACACTGTAAAGTGGCCTTGAAGATCTAACACTGACTCGTTTAGGCTGCTTGGGCAGTTAACTTCGTCGCATCCCTTGAAAGCTTTGAAAAAGACCATATTGCAGGTGTGATTGTTTCTCTTGTAATAAAGGATAGTAGTTCGCTTCACTAACTTCAGAGCCTAGGAGCTCACAATCTCATAAATTTAGCACTCGAATCAACAAATTGTGCGAAATTCTACTTTTGCTCTTCTACTGCAGCGGTTCTTGGCGACTTCAAACACTCCGGGACCATTCAGGAAGCCTTTACAAATGACCCTCATACCGCAGCACCACTCGGATACAGCCGTTCAAAGTGGGTCACAGAAAAGATCTGTCAGAAGTTAAGTTCCAGAGCTGCGGTCTTGAGAATTGGACAACTATGCGGAGATACAGTGCATGGTGTATGGAACGAGACTGAGGCATGGCCTTTGATGTTTGCTAGTGCAAATATCGTCAGGTGTCTTCCAGAGCTCCAAGAAGTGATCACACTTATACTCCTTGTGTGCTTATGGTGCTAGAAATTTTAAAAGATTGGGTGGGAGGCCTTTGAGTGGCCTTTCAAATAAGCCACTAGGTCATAAAAACACTGTGGCTATTATTTACCTAGCTAGGCATCCGATCCTATACAAATTCTTTTAAATTTCCGGCACCATGCGCAAGATATCTGGTAGCTTGACTAACGGGAAAATAGAAATTATCATGGCTTCCTGTCGATCTAGCAGCTCGGATTGTGCTGGACATCGCGCTAAGCGATCATTCAAATCAAGTTTCAGGCGATCCAGTATTCAATGTGGTGAACACAGATACATCAACATCATGGAGTAATGTGCTGGACTGGATACAAGAACTTGACGATGCAAAATTCAACCGAGTTTCACCTAGTGCGTGGATTAGGAAATTAGCCAACGCTAAATGTGGAACGGCGAATCCAAGTCAAAAACTTTTGGGTTTGTGGGAATCGAAAGTAAATATCCTATTATCCTTGGGGTTCTAAGTATCAACCTTTAGCTTCACTTAGAACTTCAATTAACTCTACTCCACTACAGTACGGACAAGATACGTGTTATAGCACATCTAATGATGGAGGAACCTTCGAATTTGAGACAAAGAACATGGCAACATTTTCAAACGTTCTCGGAAAACATGGGGGTTGGCAATTACATAGAAAATATGTGCAAAACATTTGGAGAAACTGGGTACAGGCAGGATTCGTTAAAGTTTAGTACCACCAAGTACAAACACAAAATTTCTTAAGTAGCTTCTCTTTCGGGGGTCTCGTAATACCACCATCTCGGGGCCATAGCTACAAAGAACCGATTTTTTCTTTTCTTTCCTTTTTTGGTATACTTTCAAAGTTTCTTGTATTAATTGACTTGAGGGCAATAGAGGGCAATAGATTGTCCAGCTTGATCAATTGTGCATGTATATATAATATAGGAACGTTTCATCAAAGAATATAGCTCATAACAAACACTACTCCTAAGGTACAAGAGATTATTACCCATTGTTACGCCCAATCAGAAGGAGTTGCAAGCTTTTTAGTATATTCCAACGATTCTCCTATGTCTCAATTAAACCCCATAGGCACAATGCAAATCGTATCATAGTGCTGGAACTAGTGCTCAGCTGTGACCGGATACTGCTGTTAGCAACTATGTAAGTTTTGAGTGAGCTAGAAAGAAAATGTATAGGTGGGTGAGGAGGTTCTTTGCTGATAAAATTATTTTTTCTAGACTGGTCTCAAGGACGGCCACGCGCAGGTTCAAATCTTTTAGAACTTATTACTTATAAGCCCCCACTCAAGGTTGTCTCATCGAACATAACTTCGGTCAATCTCTCGCCGTATCTCTGGACTACAGGCAGTAAATTTAGCTCTGCATCTTGGAGTCGATATGTGGATTCTTGTGATCAATGCCAACCGGGTAGGTCTCTTGTGTCATCAACTAGTTGAATTTCAAGTCTACATATCTACGTAGTGCATGCAGTTTTTTTCAGAGATTGTATATCTTCATTCAACTATATGTAAAATATGAAATGCATAGGTGCAGAAAACGAATAAAAGCCGCTCACTACTCAATGGACCCTAAACACACTGAAATCTCAATCGCATCCTGTATTTACGTTAGTATATACCATTGAAAATATTACCGAGACCGATTAAGTGGTTTACCTTGATGCCGGTTGGCTCATAGCTCTCTACCGTCCTACTCTCATAAATCAAGCTCGGATTGCCTCTTGGCTCAACCCCACCATTAACCAACTTGATGCCTTCCTTTACCATCGATTCCAAGGCCTTCTTCTCCTCAATTGTCTTTTTCTCTGCACTCATTCTCACATATCTCAGATAAGGAGGATTTCCAGGCTTGATCACGTTATCGGCGGCGAGCACAGTTCCGGGGACGACAAACTCTAAGCTCTCACACAACTTCAAATCGCTAATATATGCAGGTTTGAAATGGTCCAAGAATAATAAACCGATGTTATCAATAGCTCCCTCACTGTGTAGGCGTTTCAGAGATGAAGAAGAAGGCCCGATCACCACCTTGACGGTGTCGGAAAGGCCGGCGAGGTCGACCAAAGCCATGATTATGGCCCCAAAGAGGGGATTCATTTCAAGGCAGTAGTATTGAGGCTCATAAGAAACCCCTGAATCTATCCATGTTTTGCGTAGATGTGAAGCAAAAAGTAGAGTACTGTACCCGACGTAGCCACCAAGCTCAACCATTGTTTTAGGGCGGTGATGACTGATAAGATCGGTGACCAATTTTCCTATTTACAATCAGCAATAACAATATAAAGAGTGCGGAACGATGGAAAACCTTTCATCTCCCCAATGTTCATCAGGTACTTTTCTGTTGCGAACCCATCTATTACCGCCAGGATAGCTGCGGGCTGGTTGCGAAGAGCATTGAGCTTTTGTGATGGTAAGTTGAAAATGCGTTGAAGAAGCTCAATCTCGCGGCCATCGTCAAACTGTTTTGTATTGCATGTATTAGATTATAATACGGTTTTAAAGTAGACCTCCGTTCTGCATATATTTACTACTAAAAGAACTCACTCACATAGACATCGTGCTGTTTGGCATAGCTGATCTTGCTCGTGAATCCAGACATCGTGTGCAATCTTCCTTTTGGCCGATTTACTATATGCTGCTTTCCTCTAAATAAAGTGGGAGGCAAAGGAGATCCAGGAATATTCGAATATAAGTGTGTTTTATTTAACTTATTTGAGATCTCCCCAAGGACCACTAGTGTATATCCCGACATATGACCAAGAAGATCCTATTGCTTTTTCCGAGTAAAAGTTGTTCGCTTGCCTGTGATCGAGGAGAGGGATATCTCTCGTTGGACTTACTTCAGTCTCTGACTGTTCCAGTAGTAGCTTTGTTGTATGTCGCTTCCCTTAGATATCCCCTGATCACGTAGAGGTGATGATACGATTGATGATATGGTGCAACGTGTCTGATTGGCCCGGGGTAAGATTGATCACGTTGCAGCGTTAGATCCATCCACTCGACACGCATTTATGAAACCGTAATCACTTAAACACTAAAAATCTAGACTTACAAGTAATTAACCACAAATGTTAAGCCTTCGAAATCGATCAGAATGCACATTGCCTCTTTTCTACTGCCTGGAACCCTCCATTTTACTCCTCGGCAGTTCCGCTAGGGTCCTACAACAACGGAAATAACAACAAAACACAACATGAATCTATCGTTTAGATGTGAACTCACCATCGCAACTACGGAGATCTGAATGAAAGTAGTATTTTCATGACGTGTAATAAATCTTGCCATGCATGCAGATACTCCGATCTAGAGATAATTCATCAGCCTTCCGAAGATTCGCACGCACGTACCCTTCCGGCCGTTCTGCACCGCCGTATTATGGGAGGTTACATGAACTGATCATGAACTTGGTCGATAACTATAGATAACATATATACATCTACTCACGGGGTGATGTCCAATCATACCTGTTACCTGTTGGCGAACCAAGGGCTTTAATTACATCTTCAACTCTTCAACCCAGATATTTTACGGCAATTTAGCATTGTATTTTTGCGATTTCAATTAAGATGAGTGATGCTAGAGACCCATTAGATATCATTTAATTCCGCTGTTCTTTGCCTAGTGTTGGATTGTTCCGTGCAGACCCTAAATCTCTAACAGGAATGTTTCGCCTTCACCCAGTGTCTAGTAGGTTTTCTGTGCTGCCTTATGAATAGCACTCAGTTCAGAGCGTACTATACCCTTTGGGTAACAAGTTGCTCCTAGTGTGGTTGTCGTGGTTCAAAGATACTAAAATATAGTCACGTCATCTTAGCTGTTTCGAATCGGGTTAATGCGGTCAGTCAGGTACATGGAGGCAAGTACCCCTTCCTACGAATAAAACTGCCGGGGAAACGGAAACCTTGAGATATAGATCACGGCGTCATAAGACGACAATAATTAGTAATGACATGAGAGTCCTGCTGACCGAGTAAGAGCCATAAGAAGCCAAGTTGATCCTCGAAATGTTTCTCTACCCCTTTCATCCTCAATCCTACTTTCCACTCCTGGGATCAGTTTCAACACCTAGATTTTGGTCAATCTCTTTTTTTCTGTCTTCAACAAGCAGCCCATTACTATCCACTCTGAAATATGTCAGACCTTACAGCTACCGTTTCCGAAACAGAACATGGATTCCTCGTCGAAGGCTACGAAAAGATCTCCTATGGTTTCACATTCCTTGATGGCGTCTTTGAAGTGAAGAACAGCCAACTTGCCAGCATGTACAAGCCTTGGGGGCGCTGCTTGGCTGTGACAGACATTAATGTCTGTGGCATTTATGGTACACAGATGGAAAACTATTTCAAGGCTCACGATATCAACTTGGTTATCCACAAGACAAAGATTGGAGAGCAAGCCAAGACCATGGATACCCTCCTTTCCATCTGCGAAGCTATGAATGATTTCGGTATCATCCGTAAAGAGCCTGTTCTCGTTGTTGGTGGTGGACTTATTACCGATGTTGCTGGGTGAGTACAATAGTAACGCCGATCCTTGCTATTTTGGTTTCAATTAGTAGCCAACCCTAACCCCAAGAAAATTCCGCTAATAGAAAAATATCAGGTTCGCATGTGCATCCTACCGTAGAACAACAAACTTTATTCGAATCCCGACCACAGTAATTGGCCTTATCGATGCCTCAGTATCCATTAAAGTCGCCGTAAATCATGGCAAACACAAGAACCGGCTCGGTGCTTACCATGCCCCAATGCACACTTTCCTCGACTTCACCTTCCTCAGGACTTTACCGGTAGCCCAGGTCCGAAATGGTTTCGCCGAACTCGTAAAAATTTCGACCTGTGCAGATCTAAAAACCTTCGAGCTTCTTGATAAGTACTGTGAGAAATTGATCTCTCACAGATTCGGCCGTGCAGATGGAAGTAGCGAAGAGCTGAAGAAAGCTGCCGACACAATCAATTACAGAGGGATTCACGTCATGCTGAAGCTCGAAACCCCTAACCTCCATGAGCTTGCGCTCGACCGTGTCATTGCATACGGTCATACCTGGTCGCCAACCCTTGAGCTTGCACCGGAGACTCCCTTGAGGCACGGCCATGCTATATCTGTTGATATGGCTTACTCGGCGACACTGGCACGGATGATGAACCACCTATCTGAAGAGCAACACATGAGAATTCTCCGCCTTTTCTCGAGGGCTGGATTGACCATTGACCACCCTCTCTTCGACGAAGTTCTATTGGCCAAGGGTACGGATGCTATCTTGAAGACACGCGATAATAAGCTACGGGCTGCTATTCCCGCCCCCTTGGGACAGTGTTGTTTTCTCAACGATGTAACCATGACCGACATGAACGAAGCTCTAAGGTTGCATAAGATGATTGTTAAAGAGTTTCCTAGACAGGGGGAAGGCCTTGACGCGTTTGTTGATGCTTCCGACACTGGGGTGCCTGATACTAAAGAGCGAGTTGTCCCCCCACCTCCAGCAAGAATGGGTCGATTCAATATGCTTCCAAATTAACCCTGCGTGGTTGTACCAACATCAAATCTTTATTTTATTGTTGGAAAATCCATTCAGTCAAACTCTCATTTTAATTTTTTTTCACGGTTTTTCTTTGGCTCTATATTATCGCTTTTGGAAGCAGGCTAAATTTTCCTCAAGGAGAATGATTGGAGGAATTTTTTGGAAAGTCTTTCGTTGCGTATTTTATTACTTCATACTGTAACAACTACTATTTCTCTTCTCATCAAAATATCCAAAAACATCAGATATCTATAGAAAAACAAAAGAAAAGGGTAAAATCGAGTATAAGGCCTCGCGAGACTAGACCGCTTTGTTGCGTCATGTGGCTTTGCTTAGACTGTGATATAATATATATATATACTTTGCTGTTGCCTCGTAAACTTGAAGTTATATAAATGGATTCCCGGATATACAGTGTGCTATATCGATTTAGAAAGTATATTTTATCTCTCTACCCTTATCATGTCATGTATGGTAAGGCGTAGGCCCGTCTCGTGCCCGTCCACTACGTATACGGACAGCTTGCTGTTCGGTAAGGTGGCAACAAAATGAAGAAATTTGGAGTACTTAAGGATGCATCCTTCCCTTCCTTGGTTGCTATCCATCCACTCCCTCATCCTGCATCATGTTCACGCTATTCTCCTGGTTGTATCCGGGAAATGGAGTCAAAAGTTCATCGCAGCGTCCATCCTTCACGAGGCATCTCTTCAACAACATCTCGCTAATTTCTCTCAGCCTGGTAACTTTGCCGATCACTATTACTGTAGTATCTCTATGCCTCTTTTATGCATATTTCTTTCCAGCTCTTCCAACGCGATCCCCTTCCCGCTACTCAGCATCCTCGAAAACTATCCTCGTAAGCTCCCTCTCGATGTCGAAAGGTCTATTTCTCGCTCGATCATTCTACCGAGCTGGGCACAAGGTTATCGGTCTCGACTTTGAACGGTCCTATATCCCCTCCAGCGGACGCTTCTCGAATACTCTCTCTTGGCACTATGAACTGCCAAACCCAGTCACCAACCAACAGAAAATGGAATATATAGCACAATTGGTGGAAATAATAGAAAGGGACAGGATAGATCTCTGGGTCTGTGTGTCCGGAGTGTCGACAACAGTTACTGACGCACTTGCAAAATCCGAAATCGAAGCGAGAACCTCCTGCAAGGTATTTCTATTCCAACCAGAAACATGCGAAACACTTCATGAAAAGAATCTCTTTATCCACAAGGCCGCTTCTATTGGACTCGATATTCCAGAAACAACGACAATCAGAAGTCATGAGGAAGCCTTGGCATTTTTGAAAGGCAAAAAACCGGAACACTACATCTTAAAATCGATCTGGCTTGATGACGTTTCTAGAGGAGATATGACATTGTACCCACGACCAAACTTCGAAGAGACAACAGTCTTGATTATGTCATTAAGTATTTCGACCGATAAACCTTGGATCTTTCAGGAGTTTATTCGAGGTGACGAATATTGCACTCACGCGGTTATTGTCAAAGGTCGCATTACTGCATTTGTTGCATGTCCTTCATCAGACCTTCTGATGTATTATGAGCCAGCAGATTTAGAAATTTCTCAGAGACTTCTAGAATTCACAAGGATTTACATCAACAGCCTAGAAGACGGATATATCACAGGGCAGGTGTCGTTTGACATAATGGTCAAGAGGGGTGTAGAAGCAAACGCAGAACCAATACTATACCCTATCGAATGCAACCCCCGTACTCATACCGCTGTCGTATTGTTCAGAAACATCTCAGGAGCCCTCGCCGATAGCTACCTCGACTCGTTGAAAGATTTTGGAAAGGAAGTTTGCATCCCCGATCCCACCACTACCGACAGCCTCTACTGGACCGGACATGATGTTGTCACTCTCTTGCTACTCCCCCTCCTCAATCTCTCTGGAATTCTAGGTGGCTTACGAGAATTTACGCTGCACTTTTTTTTCTGGAGAGATGCAACATTTGAATTCTGGGATCCGCTTCCATTCTTGTTCCTGTACCACGTTTATTGGCCTGGGTTGTTTTTGAGAAGTCTTTTGACTGGGAGAAGGTGGAGCAGGGTCAATGTGAGCACTGGGAGGGTTTTTGAATACTAGTAAGGATGAGCACTCCTTATTATTCATGTGTCATAACCCCATTCTTTCGGTTCATCAGGATGGGCCGCTCTAGCCGCGGGTTGGGGTTTTTCTGCTTTATTTTATTTTGCTTTGGTATTCCTTCTTTAAGAGGCTTGATCAATTACGCGATTAAAAACATTATTCATCATCCACTGAAATCTACATAATGAGGAGTAGATGGATACGAGCTGTGTAGCAAGAGTTGAAATCCCTATCTTTTCGTAAGATTAGGTCGGAGCCGAGAAGGCCTGACTAAACAGGTTATTATCACTAGTCTTATAAAGATAGTTCATATTAACAAACTCAAGCTGAGCAAGTGCGTAGTAACGGAACATGAGATGTAGTAATCAATTAACCAGACCAATCCGAGTGATACCTTATGACTACGCCGCTATACTCAACCTCATAATTTTGGAGTAAGATGCTTTAACTCGTGCTGTGATACAAGAGATCGTGTAAATGCGAAAATTTTGACCCAACCCTGCGTTTCGTTAGATTAATTAGTTAAAATCTAACCCTCCAGAGCTAGAATAGTATGCCCTCGCATATATCCAGCACAGTTTGATTCACTTATAAATACATGTACACATTTGAGTCAAACTGTCTAGATTGTTTATAAACCGAGCGTTATAGCGGTTTTCGTTCATCTAAATCATCTAAACTAAATTTGATAAGCTTTCCCACCTGGTACATGGTTTCACTCGGTTTTAGTACTAAAATAAAATTCCGAGTGCGAATTCATGACTAAGAGCGAGCGTAACAGGAAAGTAGGCATACACGTAAGTATGGTGATCTTAATGTAATAGGTTTTCATAATTTACTGGAAGTTATAGCCCTTGAGCCTCTTGTATCTACGTACATTCAGATGAGCTCAAGGAACTGGGAGTTTGGCTTTAATGTATTTAGCTCGTTAGTTTTTTTGTTTTGTTTAATTCATTAATTGCATTTAGCTCGTTAGTTGTTTAGGTTCATTGAAGAGGCTTTAGTTCCACCAATAATACAGATGCCGTATAGCCGACCAGAAAGTGTGGGGTGAAACTATTGATTTGGAATTTTGAGGGTTAGATACTGATAGGTCAAGTATGCGATGTGGATCATGGGATGTCACTCGCATAAATACCATTCTATATTCCTCTCTCCCATTGTCCCGGTTTTGGTAGCAACTAGAAGCTTTACTTATCAAATAGCGTTTAGATAGAATAGAGGTCGGCGAAATCGTATTCCAGCAAGAATGGCCCACGTAATAAAAACTTGGCATCCCAAAAAGTCAAGTACATTATGTGTACCTCCTTCACTTGTGCAAGTCCCTGCATTATTTCAAACCCGGGGTAGAGTTCTCAACTTTAATAGGGTTGAACTGTGACAACCTCAGGCGGAACCTACATTTCTACATTAGTACGTTCCGCTGTCAAAATGTTTTGTTTTTAGCATGGGTATATCACCCGATAGCTCTTGGCTAGCTAGCTTTCTTGGCCAACTCATCTTCCGGGTGAAGAAAACTCTTGGCTTTGTCTCAGGTTATATTCACTGGCGGGTTTTTATTTGACAAGACTATGCCTGCATTAATTCCCAAGATTTGCTTGTGTCGGATCCTGGGAAACAATATTTGTTTGGCTGAACATACATGCACATGTTTCGACTCATAGGCTGCATAGGTAGGGTAGAGCATTAGAAAGCGAACCGGATACATGCCTAGATGCAACATGGCATGCTGTGCACGATATCGAGGCGGGAGGATCGTGGCATAAAATTAACCAAGTTTTCACAGAGTGAGTTGATTTCACTGAACGAAATAATGATAGGACCCCAAATTTCAACAGAACCGCACCATGTGATAAATACCGCCGTAGGATTATTATTAGTGGGAAATCCCATTCCAAAGATGGTTCAAAGGGTTCGAAACAAAAAGCATTTCCTTCAGAAATTTCAAATTGTGCCTGGACGCCTGGACGGAATAGATCAATAGCTATATGTTGAATTGAACTGAATCATCGCTCCCTATCTCTATTAAGCTAGGCCAATTTCTCGGTGAGTCTGGGAACCATAAGCTTACTGAAAAGTGGGAAAGCCCACATGTAGGAGGAATACACCAACGAACCACGTAACTAAAGATGGATGATTAGTATGTGATGATTGATTTATTGATTGATTGATTGATGAATAGGTTTATAGACTCCTGGTTTGATCTCAGCATACATATGTATACAATATCATAGCCATACGAAAGTCTTGCCTTGCATTATCGTATTTGTTTAGCTTATTCCGCCTTATTCCCTATATTTGGTTTCCTTAGTTGATTATTGATATTTGGACCGTCCTGAATACTATCTTGAAAACTTTTTTATAACAAAAAAATAATCGTTCAGTAATTCAAATCCTCACGATATGAGAAAATGCTTACTGCTGTGATGTCTTCTTTTCGTTGCTATCTCTCCAATCACCGTCAATTCCACATCGGACCGGCCTCACTTCCAAAAGCGGAACGAAGCCGACGGGCTACCCTGCGGACACCCGCTCAGAAACAAGCATTCCTACTCTTGGACTTTGCTTCCGTGTACGGGCGATTTTCTACCCACATCTACGATTGCTCCAATCGGAGTCCATGCGTCTGGGTCAATCGTTGGTTAGGATACATGTTGCATGTCGTTAGCGCATGTAGCGGAGGCAGTATCAGATTTCATTACTAGGCCGCCCTAGCGGGGAGTTCCTGGTGAAGATGGCGATCGCGATACCTTTGGGCCCTCACCGATATTGACTTTAGACTCAAGAGTCGATATTTATTCTGCTGGGGAAAACATCCCTAAAGGGGTTGTCGGTTCGGTAATAAACGTCGCTCAGCGACGAATTGGGTCGGGTCCGGGTAGTCCCAGCACCTTTGTCGCGCGAACCGTCAACTGTTAATTAGGATGTTGTTCTTGAATTGGCGTCTCATGAGCAGGCAGTGCAATACAATACAAGCCCAAGCACATCAAGAAAGATTACCGATGAGCAGAATACCCATCTGCTCCATCTCTGTGGTTAGTGGGCTGACGCCAGTTGATCTCGTTGTGTTGTCGTCGTCGTCGTCGCGCAACTGATCATATAGTATGGGCGCAGAGCTGTGCAGCAACGCTGGACAAAATAGCGCAGTGGCAGTGCAAAGGGAATTGTTTTTTCCCTTAAGACGGTATACGGGGGGAGGACTTATATGCGATTCTTTTTCAATTAAGGCCAGATCTGAGAATGCCTGAGTGATTTAGTTAATCACTTTCAAGACGTGGGGTTGATAACGCCAGTCAGTCCTTGTGAAGGGCGAGATGTGGGGGAATTCGAAGGCACGCCTAGGAAGCTTTGACCTCTTTTGAAACCGTGTTTGATGGCATGCATCCTAGGTAATATATATCTTATACCCCTTCGTACTCTACCGTTAATTCTCGCCAAATCCACTATCTCCGCATAGGTAAATGGTATGTCTGGGCCAAAGAAAAGAAGGCTCGGCATGCGAATGTGTAGAAACCCTACTGATGCTGCCATTTCTTTGGTCCGGACATACCATTTACCTATGCGGAGATAGTGGATTTGGGGAGAATGAACGGCTATTACCTGGCATATATATATATGTATCTGCATGTTTATGTAAAGATAGAGAGATCCTTTGAGTTCAGACTGAGGGGCTGGGTTCTTGCATAATGATTCTCTCTAGTACTGCTGGTGTTGTTTCGATTCCCGGTCTAAGCATTGGGGCGTTAATGGTCGCGAATACATACATACATATTTGTATAGATAGATTAATAGAACAAATGTACCGATAACAATACCACTACATAATAGTGGCCTGTTAAACAGGCCCGTTATGTATATGCCCTAATTTGACGTGGTTATCGCAGTAATAATTATAATTACGGTCGGACTGTGGGATCTCGTGCGTACTTGTAGTAGATATCTTTAAATTTGATTCTAATACTAAGGTGCACTACATTAACTAAGTACTTAAGCAGAAAATTTACAGACCTTATGAGAACCTTAAATATTAAATACAAATCTCATGTAGACCAGATTTCAGTGTTTGATAAACCATAAACAAATAAAAAATAAATAAAAAAGAAAGTGTCGTGAATGCTACCCATAAGAAAACCAAATATCCCCCCCAAAAAAGTGAAAGAAGCATTAGTAAATGCTAGTGTGCCCCAATGAAGTTAGAACTGTACATGGTAAAGTGTCTCCAAAAATACTGTATTCCACCTAACAGCCCCGGGCGGTTTGCCTAGCCGATTCTAGACACGCTTACTTTGACGTCACGGCTTGCAACGTCAATTCCATGGCAAGCATTAACGGCGTTGTTTTGTCGCCCTGAATAGGATGTATCTCCTCTCCTCTAGTGTGAGGCCATCATAATCCTGCAATTGGATCTCGGGAATTTGTGGCCTCTGTCGAGTCGACTGCCTCCGTGAGCGCTGAGTTTGCGGTCTCCTTGACCGAATCCAGCCCTGACAGCACCTACAGTCCGCCGCATAGCATGCACTTCCATACTTAAAGAGACTAATCTCATCGTAGCCTGGTAGGCCCATATCATGATAATAATATCCCTTCTTTATGGCTATCTCTTTCTGATAATCCATTTCATTGGCTGGAATAACCTTTAATCCAGCCTGGTCGATGTAGGTGGTATCATACCCAAGGTTTGGGTCAATGTACATGAACATTCCCGATCGCGAAGAGGAATACCCAAAGTCGTTCTTGCCAAGCTCGAGGAGTACGTTTGATGCGCGCACTAATATAGGCGGGTGGCTTTTGTAGTCATCTCGCGAGTAAACTACATTGCAGAAGGTTGTTGAGGCACCGGGGAATCCAAGTTGGTAAATTTGCCAATCTTCAGTAATTACTTTTCCACGGGGAGTCGCAATGCCAATTGCCCCTTTGCCAAAGTTCTTAAGAAGAGTAGACTGTATTTGGTTCAGAAGGCCATCATAGGCGCTGGAAGAAAATGCTAGTTAATGTCAATGCTTCAATAGTAGGTAGGGGATTTTAAGCTTACTGAAAGGTAGCAGAAGTGGTAAGAATTTCTCCATGGCAGTCACCCCTCAGTCGAATGGTCACCGAGCGCACCCTATCGCCTTCCGGCTTAGGATATACCCTTACCACGTTCCTTGATGGTTCAGGTTGAAAATATGCCGTTGAGTACATTGGTGGACTTGACTTATCGGAGGTAGATAGCGTAGGACGTTCGGAATGGTCACTAGCACTGTTCGAAACAGATGATGATGTCCTCCTCGAAACATTGTGCCTAGCAGTTGAGGAAGATCTTGAACGGGAGTGATTGTTACTCCCGCGGTAGGCAGAGTTAATGTGCTCCGCGAAGAGGCTGCGGTACTGGGACTTTGTGACGGACATTTCGAACTAAAGGTAAGGCTAAAAGGCCAAGGAAAAGGCTGAGTATTCTTGGGAGAAAAGGCCAAGGTGTCAAACCGTGAAGGTGCAGAAAAGGCCAAGAAGGAGGATTCGAGAAGAAGACTACCAATTGACTAGAGGAAGGTATTGCCCAGAGACCTTCAATAATAAATGAAGGGGGATTCTGGTTCCATCTCCGGAGTTTAAGTAGGTAGGAATGCGGGGAGGGAGGGAGGGAAGTAAGGTCACGTAATGGGGCATACACGCGCGAGGAAATGATAGCCCCGTGATGGTTATAATCAATGCCATGTTGTCATACTATTTTTATTATAAAAGCCTATTCTAGATTAAACCAGGTGTAATGGCTTGTATAGTAGGGGTGGTTTGGGCCCTGGGATGTGCATATGGAGGCAACTTTTGGTTCGCACACGATGAATCCAGGGATCCTGAAAACCGATGATACGCCTGACCTCTATGGAGGCCCATCCGCAGTACTCTAGAGTAGTTAGCAGGGCAGCAAGAAAGAAGGAAACAAGGGGCAGACTGGTAGGTAGAGTACATTGTTCAGTGCTGCATAGATCTGGGTGATTACGGGCAGGCACGCAAGTGGACTTTGGGGGTCATACAATAATAAAGTTTTGAAGTTAACTGTCATGTCTTGCACTTCCCTGTATGTACTACAGCTCGCGCTCGATGAGTGCAAATCCCCACTAGGAGAGTACCACATTTTGACATCTTCCGCTGACGCAAACGAAGCAGTGTAAGTATCCCATCAAAAGAAAATCCTCATTTGCCTTGTTCTTGTCTGTTAGCCGGTCCAGTTCTCAGGGCCGATGTGAGTCCAGGTGCCCGAATCTTCCGTCCAAAGGCCAGAATACTGGATTGAGTTGCCAGCTCCGATTCAACTCATGTGCAAGAGAGAGATGGAACAGATAGACAGGTAAGGCTGTGCCTAGAGTACCAGTACGCGTCCTGCCAAGATGTGTAGTTGATGTCTCTCCGAAGCCACCCAGCATGCGTGTCTCACTATCACGACGAACGTCTGCAGCCCCACCGTTGCTATGCCAGCAGCCGATCTACGAGTAATGGAATTGGTAGAATGCATATTGCCAAGTGACTCTGTAACTCCTCATATATGCCTTTACCGAGAAATATTTCTATCTGTATCATTCACCCAGGCAAAGAAACACGAAGATAATTACCCATTTATTTCTGCTTTCCTGATCGGGGCTGAATGTACCCCAATCACTTTTCTCTCAGAAATACATGTAAGTATGTACATGTATGTACTATACCGTATTTACAGAGTAGAGAAAAAAAAATCAACATGATTATCATCACAGGTCGCCTAGTTACCCAGAATTTACCTTCCGATATTGTTAGAACCCAGAAAACTGTATAAAAGCAGGCGACCCGGCAATTCCCAGTACTGTGTGTGTAACCTGTGAAAGCCCTAAATGATAGGTAAGCTTATGTACCCATAGAGGTACCTACTGGAGGAATCGGCCTGGCGTGTAGGCGGTGGGTTTTTACAGCCGACCTTTATCGCCAGTTATTGAATAGGCAGCAGCCCTACATATACAAGCGTAACTAGAGTAGCGCACTATATTTTTAAATGCAGCTAACGGTATCATTGGTCGGAGGTGCAAAGCTCCCCGATAAACGATTGGCTCAGGGTTGGGTTCCTCCGTCACAGCCGCAATACCACCCCTTGCAAATGCGCATATACCCCGCAGGAAAATGGACTATGGGTACCTGTTTTGAAGATAACCTCAACCTACAAGACAAGCCATTCGGCGCTCGGATTTCGCATCTCATATTGGTTAATTCAACTGAGACGATCAGAAGATCAGCTCATTGGTTTTCTTGCATGAGTCAACTACCAATCTCATGAATGAACTCTGATAGGTGCTTACTGTAGACTATTCTCAATAAATGGGCGGGAAACCGTACATACACAGCCAGGTGCTCAAAGGCATGCACACGTAATGCCTACTGTACTCTATGCTCATGCCCATCCTCATGGCCCGCAGTAAAGCCGTCTTCCCGCCGGTCAGTAAGCCAAAAAAGCACTTGTCCGTCTGTCCGACCTATAATATCACAGATAATGCTCTTCAGTCAAGCCATAGATGCGAGATAATAACTTGCTGCACGTAGACCCGTGGCGTTTCAGTTAGGGTTCCTTTTTATTCATTTGTAGAGCATGTGCTTGAAATTCTTCACCAAAATTAATTTCGTTTTTATTTTTTGCATTTGGTTTGTTTTGGTTGAGGGAACTGTAAATGATATCAATGTTGTTTGGTCAGCTCTGGTATCCAATGATTGGCGTTGCGAACACGTGGATTAATTACCTTAACTGTTAATTCATGCCAAGTTATCACGAGATTGATCAACAAAGATACAGCTAACTCTCTAGAGTGATCTTCCCTATTGTTCAAGCACCAGTAAATATTTAATTTATCGAGTGATATTCTATGATTGAACAAACACAACAGCAGCTAGTAATGATATAATCGGGTGGCCATTTGAGGCTATATTCAAGGGTAGACGGAGGACGCTCGCGAAATTTTGGGAATTGAACTCAAGGCTGCCAAGCATTGGTCTTTTGTAATACTAAATCACCCAAGTTAGTACAGACATGAATCTATCCGCCTGATTGAGCTGATCATTTACCGAACGGGCTCGAAGTAAAACCATAGAACTACACTACCTCTTAGATTATCACACTGATGTCCAGAAGGAATGATATTTAATATCTCCTCCCGACTGACTTATCCTACCATCTTCTCAGCATAATACGTGTTTACCCACCAATGAACCCGCAGGTCTTAATGTACCGTATGATTCGACTCTTATGTAGGCAAACGTTTTGTGCCAAAAAAGGTAATAGCTAAGTATATCCGTAGCTTATAAAGTCATCGGAGTTAGCCGTAGGATGCAGGTATCGGTGTAATTTATGGTTGAATTTGAGAGGGTGGAAACTTGGTTGAGAAGAGAAACAACGGTAGGAACGTTGGATTAACATTTTCAATCAGCCGTGATAAAAAAGTATTTTTGATAGTGGTTCAATAGGCGGGGATAAATCTATATCCGGCCAACACCGGCTTAGCAGGAATGTACATATCCATTCAGTATTATTTCGTACGTGTTTCACGAGGCCGCTCGAGAAGAAACAAAGGAATACCTCGTTTCGATCTCGACTCGCAATGAAAATGATTATCAGTCTCCTCTTGCTTGCTCCTCTCGACATTAAATGAACTATCAATTGATCAATTGCTCATCTCAAGACAGGCTTCAATAATCGAGTGAGTGATCATGATCCAAGAGTTCTGAGAATAATATTTTTCTGGCCTCCTTAGTCAAAGATTAGCCGGAGGTGCAACGGAAGCTGTTGGGAGGGTGCTTCCCCTTGTCAGCTTTGGGGCGGCCTAGCGGTGAACCGGACTCTTCTACATGAGCCCTTTTCTACTCGCATGATGTAATAACAACAGAATGTCTGCTTTCAAGCCGGTGAGTTTACAGAATGTCCTATCTCAATCTTGAGCTCATGGAGGACACTAAATTACTACTTGGGACCCAGGCTCCTCACCCACGGTCGCGACTGTATGTAACGACGATAAAATATCACATCGCTTTCAGCACTCAAGCACCTCAATAGATAATGACGAATTATTTGTCACATCACCAACTAACGTCGTCATTGATTAACGCTGGCGTCTGGGCATCCGTCATCTGTCAACTTTAACTATCCAACTAGAATGTATCCGTTAACATTTGGCGGACGGGCCAGTGGCTAGCTCACCAGTCGAATCTGCGTGATCGATGAATGACCAGAACACTACTAAGTGGACCGACCTATAATTCCTTTGGTTTCAGGCCGAGTTCTATTACAACCTATTTTCCAACACTTCAATAACAAACAAAATTACCAGGTATTGATTCTGACGGTAATGAAAGCGATGTACGAGCAGTACCAGTGATAGACCAATTAGCGGACAAAAAACAGTAAAACGAACCCACCCAATTTTTCTTTGAAAGAAAAAGAGAAAGTAAGGCAGTTACTTATAAGTTATAATAGCCGGCTATCAACAAAGGGCAGGCACCATAAAGAATAAGGACGAGGAATAGAGAGCAAGAGAATTAGAACTAAGGGATGTGGTGACAAACTTCCACATGAACGAACCCCTATGAAAGAAAGAAAGAAAGAAAAAACACTAAGAGAATAATACCCCGCTTCTAATTCCACCCATAGTAACTTGGATCCCACGCCTGCCCCGGATAGGCCGTAGCACTCATAGTGTATTCCTCTTCATCGTCTGTCCCCACCCTCTTGAATGGTTTACTTGTCTCACCGTGTAAATCTAAGTTGACGGCAATCTTCTCTGTCGAGAAATCATACTCCTCCTCCTCTGTCTCCTTATGTGCTAGAGTTGGCGTTCTCTCATTTGCAGAAGCGTGGGATGCCCCCGCAACGGCGGGAGACAGGTCACTTGAACCAGTTGCACCACCCGGTTGCCTTGAGGGCCCAGCATCATAGGGTGACTTTTTCTCTGTTTCGAGCAGCTTATTCTCAATAATCTTAGGAGGATGAGGCGGTGGAGTCGGCGAAACGGTTCGTGATCTCTCTTCTATTTGGATTGGAGGAGGACCAAAGGGAGTATTGATGGGTGGAGGAGAGACCGGTAGTGGTGTGCTACGCGGCGATATCTCGTGGTCGTTACCGCTATTCTTGACTTGGGCAACCGATTGTGGAAGCGGCAACGGCTGCTGGTACCGTTGACTGTCGTTTTGCACTTCTCCTTCCTTAATCGAGGGCTGGGTAGAACTCGGGTGCTCTGTGATATCCCCCTCCCGCACAGAGGGTCGTCGTCCATATTGTGTGCCTACTTCAGAATTCGGGCTCAGAGAACGAGTCGTTTCATATGTCCGCGAAGCTTGTGTTCCTGCTCGCGACAAATTCGGGCTTATGTTCCGACTGTCTGAAGTTCGAATATCCGAGATTTGCGAAGAAACTTGCGAGGGGTTCCTATTAATAGACGGCGATATATTGATAGATGGTGATTGACCAATCCTCGGGTCTATATTTGTAAACTCTTGTCTATGCCCTTGAGCTTGCTGCAGGTGCTGTTCTTCTTGTTGTTGTTGTTGATATGCGTATTCGCCCTGAGGGCGTGCATAGCCCTGTGGAATAGGAACAGGAGCATATTGCGGCTGTCCTTGCTGTAGAGGGGGAGCATGAGTCGCTGAGGGTGGGAGGGCAGGTGGTTGTGGTTGCTGTTGTACCTGCTGCTGAAGTGGATGAGGTGCCGCAGCAGAACCTGCCAATGGGCTTCCCCGTCCTTGAGCAAGGCGCGGGGACTGCTGCGCATTTAGGTTTTCGACATAGACACCTTGTTGCTGTGGTATAGGAGAGTTTCCATTCCATGGGTTGTAATTTCCCTGCCCACTAGAGCGCTGCTGCAGGTGCTGTGGTTGCGGCTGTGGTTGCTGAGGTTGATGTTGTGGCTGCACCTGTCGTGTCTGGAACTGTTGCTGTTGCTGTTGCTGTTGTGGCGGTGGCGGTTTGTGTGCGGAGGCCTGAGACGGCGTTGGCGATGGTGACTTTGTCAATTTACCAAGCATCGATCCCGTTCTTCCAAACACGTCCTACAACCTAATCAGTACTACTTCTCCAAAAAAAAAAAGATTAAGGACAGAAGGAAATCCAACCATTGAAAAAACTTTCTTGTGGCTCTTTTTCTCCTTTTTCTCCTTTTTTTCCTTCGAGCTTCCCGATCCTTCACCTTTATCCTTCTTCCTACCCTTCATGAATGACGACGACCTTCTTTCGCCTTCTTGCTTTATTTCCTCGCTGATTGTTTTAGGAATTACATTTTGTACCTGTTGGGGGGATTTCACGCTTTCGTCCATCTTGGTTTTCAGGTTGCCAAAGAAGCTCGATCGTTTCTTTTCCTGTGAGCTAGTAGTCGATCCCTCATAATGTGAGCCCGCACTGTTTGGGGGCTGAAGGTTCGAATCTGTAGATGGTCGCTGTTTGCCACTAACACCACTGAGAGTCTTCATTAAGCCAGATGATGTACGTCTAACTCCCGGAGCCTCTGGCTGCTGTCCAATCGAAATAGGCTGTCCAGGGTGAAATGGTGGCCCATGATGGAACTGGGGGCCCCCTTTAAATTGACCACGAGGGTCCCGAGGATCCCCTGGAGCAAATTGAGTGCCGACGAATTGGCCCTGGGGCGTCATGTACTGGCCTTGAGGTCCTAGTGGGCCTAGTTGAGGGGCGGGTGACCCGACCTGCGGAGATCCAAGACCCGGCTGCCCAGCACCAGAAGGCTGCCTTGGTCGAGTATGATCCACCGCAAATCCTGCCGGGTTTTGCGGGAAACCACCCTGACCTGCTTGCGGAAGCCCGACATGGTAGCCTTGCTGATACTGCTGTTGTTGCTCGGAGTACAACCCACCCCCAGTGACTACTCTTGGTGGTGATGGTTGTTGCGTTTGTATCTTTGGGGGCGGTGGAGGCATAGAATAGAAATCGTCGTCATTAGATTCCTGCCTACTGAGCTGCGGCAGGGCTCCGGTCATCTGGTTTGACATGAATCCTTTTTGTTGCTCATTGCCCATATAAGGTCCTGGATGGGACTCCATATAGTTCATCTGCGGCGTTTGCTTGGCACCCAGTCGGGGCTCTGAAGTGATAGCTGGCACACCACCCGAAATAGGACCAGTGATCTGTGCCGGTTGCTGCTGCGTCTGTGGGGGCCTAGGCTCCTCAGGTTTTTCTTCAGGGTCGTCATCGCGAGGAGCAAAAGCATTTTGCCCACGTCTTTCCCCTGCATAACGGCTTTCTGCCGGTGGTGAAGGCTTTTGCGGGATAGATTGGAATGCCCCTTGAGCCTTATGTGGGTGTGCAGATAATGGGGAGATTGTGCTGTCGGGATTAATCAAAGCAGGCGGGGAAGTCAACGAATCAGATCTCTTTGGAATCTGCTGCAGTTGCTGTTGTCGAGAAAGTGAATCTGACCTCATATTCCTTTGGTGCATCTCCTTTGTTGAAGAGAGAGAATCACTCCTATCAAGCCTCTGTGAGGTCATAGGTGAAGATGTTCGCGAATCCTGAAACTGCTCCTGGGAGTACAGGCTATCAGATCTCTTAGGGAAGGTTTGAGTTTGCTGCGGTAGCATACCCTGGGTAGCAGGTGGCGGTGGTGGGGTACTACTATGCTCTGATATCTTGTCCTCCGTGCCATGAGAATGAGGAGATGATCTAGCATGCTCTGGGGAGGGGGAGGAGGTGTTTGTTTCTGCGGCGGCGTGCTAGTTGGCTGTTGATATTGTTGATTGACCGAGTTCACTGCCGTTTGTTGAGGTACCTGCTGAGGCGCTTGCTGAGATGATTGATGGGGAAATGGACCGGACCCGGACACTGAGCGTTGCTGGGAGATAATTGAACCTGGTATAATTAGATGTGGTGGCTGTGGTTGGGATCTAGGCCTATGCTGTGGTACCGGTACCGGTTGTAGCGGCGGCTGCCCTGGTGGGTATCCTGACGTCCTGGGCGGCGGACCTGCTGGTTGAAGCATAGGAGGCTGGGGTGTAGATTGAGCCTGCAAATTTTGCCCCCGTTGAACCAACTGCGCAAGATCATTTTGAGCTTGATTAACCTGCGGAGGTTGCGCCGACGGAGGAGGAGGGGGGGAGAAGAGGGCTGTCCATGGGGCCGTTGTTGTTGCTGCGGGAGCTGCTGCGAAACTTGCCTCTGGTGCCCCTGAAATCCAGCAGACGGCCCTTGCTGCTGTTGTTGTGCATGTTGAAACGCTGGCTGAGAAAATAAGGGGTTTGGCGATGTAGATGGATTCGAATCCTTAGTGTCCTTACCCTATCGCCCCAGGTCAATTTTGATAATTTAAATTTGGGAAGGGGAACAAACCTTTTTTCCACCAAATCTACTTAAAAAGCCCTTTGCCTTGTCTACAGCTTTATCCATGGGCGCATGCATCATACCTGATCCACCAGAACCACCGGTTACGATGCTGGGTGTTGGGGTTGTACTATGTCCACCTGCACTATGTCCACCGTTGCCGTTGATATTCGTCTGACTAGGCCTTGAGCCAGTTGCTGAAGGTACTTGAGAGATTGGGGAGTCTCCAGATGGAACCGAGTGATGATCTGATTCAGCACTTGGCTGCTTAGCCATCGGCGTAAAGTGCTGCTGCTGCTGCTGCTGCTGCTGCTGCTGCTGTTGCGGTTGCTGTTGAACTCTTCCGTTTGAGGTCTGAGGCCTTGATTGTGATTCTGCTCCAAGCATTAACGTCTGCGCGCCCCCGTTCTCCTCTAGCATGTACTTGATCCAATTATTCAAGCCAGTAGGCGTCTCTCCAATTATTTTTCGAGCCTGGTTATAGGCCGCAACCCGATCATCAGAATTAGGAAGACGAGCAGCATCACGTGGGTCCATATATTGTCTTATCCTTCCTACATCCACGGATCCAGCATTGCTAGGTTCCTTTACTGTAAGTCCTTCTTTAGTAATCTCGGTATCCTCATCCTCGTCCTTCTCACTAAAGTCGACCACGTCGGGAACCTCCTCCTCGCCCTCTTCCTTGGGTGGCATAGGCGGCATTACCAGGACTCCAGAAGGCATTGGCATGGTTTCTTTCAGCATCAACGTCTGGGGCCTGGAAAACTGGTTTAAAAGTTCTCTGGCGTAATCACTCTGCATAGGCGTCTTTTCGCCATCCCCGTCCTCTTCTTTTTTCGGCGGTTGAATGACGGGTCCTGTGATAGCTTCGATACCCTCGCTTTCAGGGCCAAGGATGCGCGTTTGTGGGATGACCTCAAGTCCTTCAACTGGAGAGTTTATTCTAATCTCAGGGGTCCCTTCTCTTTGTAGCGGTACCTCGATAACTGACTGTGGATCGTTCATTGAGTTATCATTAACCACTCGATGGCCATGTACGATCAACATGTCATGATCGTCCTCATCTTCAACATCAGTTTTATCGCCTTCCACTGGTTTCTTCCCCTCAACCTCCTTTTCCTTCTCATCCACTTGTGCCTCTACACTGTCTTCCACTTCCTTGTTGGCCTTCCCCTTCCCCTTTCCCTCCTTCTCCTTTCCCTCCTCCTTTCCCTCCTTCTCCTTTCCTTCCTTCTCATCGGCTCCCGAAATTCCGGTCTGCGTTCTGGCCAAAAACTGCCTCCTTGCAATCATCATCTCCAACAATTCACTATCTGGCATCTCCGATGCACTGGCTGGAGTCGATTCAGGTCTCTCTACTGGGACAGACACATCTGGGATCGAGACAGGTGTAGGTAAAATCCTCACTGTGGTAGGGCCACCCTTTGGAAGCGGAAGAGGAGGAAGGTCAGATACCGAGTCCCGATTTGAGGAAGCTGACATAGCCGAGAGCAGTTGGAGATCCGGCGCACTTGGTCTTCTCGGATTCTTTACCGGGGGCGGGGGTGGAAGAGATTGAGTCTCTTCCTGGGTCCAGTAACTATCGTAGAGGCCCAAGACCCCAACGCTCTCTCTATTGGTGCCGTGGCTGTTTGGATGCGGATGGGGCTGTTCCCAGTAGGGTTGTTGGTGCTGTTCATACTGAGATTGCTGAGGCCGTTGGTACTGATGCTGTTCGTACTGCTGCTGCTCGTACTGCTGCTGCTCGTACTGCTGCTGCTCGTACTGCTGCTGCTCATACTGCTGCTGCTCATACTGCTGCTGTTCATATTGTCGTTGCTCGTACTGCTGCTGTGTGTACTGCTGCTGCTGCTGCTGTGATGGTGAGTGATGAGGTGGCGGCGGTGGTGGCGGTGGCGGCGGTGGTGGAACCCCTTGCTGGTTGGTAAAGCTAAGACTCGACGGATCAAAGGGCTGCTGATGTTCGTGTGGGTGCTGCTCTTGAGCTATATGTACAGCGCCGAAGCTTGACGGATCAAATGGCAGCGGCGGTGGTGGCGACGGCGGAGAAGGTGGCACCTGTTGTTGCTGTCCAAGGCTGCCGGGTTCAGGATGTCTCTGCTGCCGTTGCCCTCCCTCATATATTTCCTGTCGATGCGCCTGCTCCTCTTCCTCCCCTGCATATAATTGCTGCTGCTGCCAACCCTCATGTTGCCCTTGTTTCTGATACTCTGGATTCTGGTCAACTCCAAAGCTATCCGGCCCAAATGGCTGTTGTTTTCTATGTTGTTGCTGTTGCCGAAATTGAGATTGGCCTGTGGCTTCAAATGTGGAAGGGTCGTAAATTTGCTGTTGCCTCGGCGGTGTATCAACCGACGGTGTATCTTCCGGCGCAGGGGATTGTGCACGTTCCAATTCGCCAAGGAATGTGTCTAGATAATCTTTTTCTGGACTTCTATTACCTTTGGCACTCTGGCTCTCTTGACTATCCCGGCTCTCTTGACTTTCCTGGCTCTCGACCGTATCTTTTCGCTCCATGGCCCCGGCTTTCTCGCTGTCCTCGCCCTGGGGAGATGAAACCCAAACCGGTGGTCCATCTCTCCTTTTACCCAATGCCGGTGTATCTGGAGTCACCTCTGCAATCTCGCCTCTCGAACCCTGTGTATCTAACATTGGCACAATAATTGGCACACTCCTCTCTGCACCCATTGATTTCCTGAACGGAGTCCTCGTGGTATGAGACTCATCTTTTGATTTTCTCTCTGTATTACTTCTCTCCAACATGTGTTGAGGTGGAGGAGAAAGTGATGTCGAAGGCAGAGGGGTAGTGTTTGTGCGTTGAATGGCAGCGAAATTAGCAGGTCCACGTGGGAGGATAGGAGAGATGGTATCGTCGATGCTGCCACCGCGGGGGGCGACTAGGTTGTCATCATCGGAGGGGATTGGAGAGATCGGCGTGGCTGGCGTGGGGTGATTATGTGTGTCTTGCCTTTGGAAGGCGCTGCTGACCATAGACTTGAAACCGCCGCTGGGACTTCTTTCGAGGTCAGACTCGACTCGGGTGTTGAACTGTGTCTGTAGAGACTCGTGGATAATGCCGAAGCTTGAAGGGTCGAATGGCTGAATTTGGTTATCCTGGTGTTCTACGTCAATATCTTCAGAGCCACCATAGCTGGAAATGATACCATCATCCCAAGTTGACACCCTCTTCTCCTGCTGCTCGTTCTGCCTTTTTTCATGCTCCACGGCCGGTGCATCGATTATCCTATCAAGAATAGGACTTGCTGGAACTGTTGTTAACGGGATGGGCGGCAATGCACTAGTAGGTGGTGGGAAAGGACTGGGACTCCTAGCCATCTCCTGCCGAGAGCTAGGCCGAGAACCCTCAGCACGACTACTAGATCTGCTATGAGTGCGACTTCCAGAACGACTTATTCTCCTAATAGACTCCTGGCGACTGCTAGGCCGGCTCCCACTGCTCTCTCGGAGCTCAGGCATACGATCGCCGCCTCTGCTCCAGGCCTGTTGGGGGTCCAAGGAGAGGTGACCGCGTTGTGAATCGACACTAAGGTTGGCATTATGCATTATGGGGACACCGCCACTGGCTGTAGAATCTATACTATTGCGGCCGGCCATATATTTGGATCTGCTATCTGCATCACTAGCCCTGCGCTCCTTTTCTCGTTCCTCGCCGATGCGAGCGTATATTTCTGATGGGCGGATAAGCCTACTTGGTGACTCGGGAGCTGGCAGAGGGGGAGGAGCAGGAGGGGGTGAAGATGGGTGAGCAGGGGGTGGAAGGATAGAGTTAACCGCTATTATGGGCTCAGACTGCTGTAGGGGCATCTGCAACTGTGATATCATAGGTTGGTACTGAGGAGCGAAAGACTGTTGAACCGGCTGTGGGGATTGGTGATACTGCTTCTGATTTGGATGTGAATAGTACTCTTCGTCTGCATATGAAATTTCCTGAGAAGGTGATGCACTTTGAGGCTGCGATTGTTGGGGATTTGGAGCAGAATAGTACTCTTGGTCTACATAATCGACCCCTTGAGTAGGCGGGGGGTAATGAGCTTTGGAGCTAATATCACTTCCAGTCTGATCACATCTTTTTTCGGGTGATTGCATTGGACTTGACTGTTGGTCACGTATAAACTCGGGTGATTGTCGTCCTTGTGAACTTTGGGGACTTCCGGGCTGATCGCGCCTTTGTTGTAGGGAATATTGTAGTTGTGACCCTTGAGAGCTTCTGTTACTTCCAGATTGATCATTGCTTCCCAAAGTTGTTAAGTTCTTGCTCTTATTCGTAGGACGTCGAGGAATTGAATGTTTCTGGGCAGGTGAGCCTTGTGGTGCTGATCCCCAACTTGATCTAAGTGGTGTAGTTTCTGCCCTTTTGATACCCTGCAGTGGGAATTGAGAATGCTCCACATTGGCAGGTGAACTATAGCGCACATGAGACTGTTCACTCTGTTGCGGGTCATTTTTTGGCGGGAGCGGGGGCGGAAGTGGGGGTGAAGTAGGTGATGTCGAGTCTGATTGAGCAGGAGGCGAATTTTGCCAAGGTGGAAGTTGTTTATCACTACCTGGGCTATCCTTGGGAAGTGGCATTGGTCTATTCGGACTATCTGGGCTATTATCTACTGTGGAAAGCGAGCCTTGTGGTTTTTGGCCCGTGCCTGGCCCTATCGAAGAGTACCCGTACCCCACCCCGAATGGCTGCGGTGATGAGTCCCTCCCAGGTGATGATGACCTGGATGCAGAGTTCGGAGAGTAATATTCCCTCGGCGGAAGGTATTGATCCTTCGCAGGAGGAGGAGGTGGAGATGATGGGCTATACATTGGAAGTGGTTTATCCACCCCCATTGTCTGGGCCCTTTGAATACCCCTAGCAGGGCTTGACGAACGAGAAGTCATGATTTGAGGTAAGAAAGATTGAAGTATCCCACCCGGAGAATGTTGCGGACTATTATAAAATGGAAAGGCGCTCTTCCGCGAAGCCTGCTCTTGCTGCTCCATCTCTAATGGTGTCGGCGGTAAAGGTATTCCCAGATCCGGAGATTGTGTCTCTACCCTCGGAACTGAACCTCCATTTGCCGGTCTACCTAGATCCGAGAGCTTTATGACTGGCTTTGGAATTGGCGGTACGTCCTCTTTCCTCCCATATGAGGCACCCTGTTGAGAGTATCCCTGACCACCTGAGGATGGTTCGTACCCATCATCTTCGTAGTCGTCGTACTCATCGAAGTCTTCATCATCTCCCCAACCCCCACCACCGTAGTCAACAGTTTTCGCCTCTACCCAACGTTTTGATTTTGCGCGGTTAAGGTTCGTTTTGAAAGCTGGAGCAAGAAGGGGAGCTGAAGGTGTTCCGATGGGTGGTGGTGAAGTCCTATTATATGTTAGCCACGCGAAAGCTGAAGTCGAAACTCCGAGAAACGATGTTTCCTTTGAGAGCAAAGAGGGATGTGCGTGGGATAAACAGACATTGGAGAACGTGTTTCGTCGAAAGTCGTGAGAAATGGTCTTGACATATCCACCTCTGCCAGACCGGAAATCTCACGATAATGAATAGTACGCAAAAATGCAAGCTATAAACGCGAAAAGAGCAAACAAAGTGAGCAAGAAAGAATCGAAGAAAGTAACCGTCGAGGGTGGGATAGGCACGAATCGCAGGGTTGACGTTGATTTTCAGGCTGAGCAGCAGTGAGAGTGCGTGGGGAGGGATGTTGGCCAAGCCTTAATCACACTAGGGAACGCGGCTGCGGCTGAGGCAAGTTAGGAAGTTGGTAACCTCTAAGGGTCTGACCAAAAAAGAAGTAATCAGGTCCAACAGGCCAATGGAAGCTGTCGATCGCTTTGATTCTGGATGAAAATGTTCTACATAAGTCTAAAAAAAGCAATTACATAAGTGAGGAACCTGCACCCCGCGCAGATGGTATCTCAAGCTCACATAACATGGAGGAGCTGGCCCTCACCTACATCAGATTCTAGGTAATACTTCATCGACTCACTACATGTACTCACGACTCTGAGATTCATGGGACTTAACACTCTACTCTACCTGCACCTCCCGGAAGACCCAGACGTTCATTTTACCTCTCGCTTCTGAGTGATTAATAAGGACCGAAGTATATTGTTGCACTGTCACAGCTCAAAAACGAAGACAGGGCAGGCAAATTACTTGTCGCCAAAATTGGTTAGGTATTTACTTTCGCATAATTAGCGGCGTGGGACAAGGCTTAAATAAGGCTAGCTTTGATTTGCATATGTGGCACACAACTCGATAACTGTGGCGTAAGGGCGGCATAGCTGTGCCACCGGGAGATTACTACATGTACGAAACAACCGGGGTAAATCACGATCACTACATGTACCAATAGGATTACGGAATTCAGTGAAGAATACCGAGATATATCGGCTGTAAGAGGAATATGTACCTCATAAATACCGTATATACGTATTCTTACAGCATAACTCCATCGCGTGTATGCTTAGTAGCGTCTTAACGATTATTAATACCATGGCGAATCCACACATGTTTGGCGCTTTAGCAAATTAAGACGCAATTAAAACGTCCTCATGCCACGTTTAGGATACCTCTGGCATCATGAGGGTTAAGAGTCACGGGATTCTGAGACTTTGCACCCTTTGCTTGTAAGATGCGTTCATCAGGCCGATCACCCCACGACTACAGATGAAGGAAATAGTAATTAAAGAAGCCTAAAGAAGGTGACCGCAGGGAAAGCATAGAATAACACCTTTATTCTAGGCTCCTTCGGTTGGTCGTACCTTTTATGTGCTTGCTCCTTAGTATAATTGCAATGATACGATATGAATAAATGAGAGCTACATTGGCTTGCTCGGTGCGAAAGTTTCAAGACTTTAAATACACATGCATGCGACCTACTCGCACGTCAATTATGTATTTGCCCAACCAGCAAAACACACCAAAAATCGAGGTTTTCAACAACTCATAAAAAGCCCCACACCTAAACCAAAATATCAACGACCAAGTATAGTATAATTTTGATAAAGGAGGTCCATGCTTCAAATTCTTGGCCCAATTGAGATACTGGTAAAGGTGCCATAAAAGGACCATTTTAGACACATTTCGCCTTCAGGCCTTGTTCTTTGTAGATATGGCCTAAAAGTGGCTTGTAGAGTCTTTCAGGTGTCTAGATAGAAGACACATAATTTCAGGGGAGGTGGGAGAGCTCTCTGGATTCTCTGTGTGTTTTGCTGGTTGCGCAAATACATACTTGATATGCGAGTACATCGTCTGTTATATTTCAAGTTCTATATCAGTTTCTAAGTGCCAATCACTACATACATGTATCGTATGCATATATGCTTGGAAGTCTATCGGTAGTATTTTAGATTCATCAACCCATTCAATCAAAGCTCCCTCTACTTTAGTTGGTAGACGTATAATTACTTACGTCCGTCCCTATAACGGATGTGGCCCTCTTTACATACTAATTCTCTAGGGTTTTTTCAATATCATTATCTACATATACACATAGATAACTCGCTATTTATCATGCTCTGAAATCTCCATGTATTCGAGCTTGATTGTAGAGTTAGAATGGGTTAGGCCTACTTATACGCACCAAACTCGGCCTATTTAATAAGTAAGTAATTCTTATGGCAAAGAGGGCCGGGTTGAGCACCCCTAGCTATGATGTCATGTAGCTAGAGTACTGGGTTTCCATACTCTACATGTAGGAACGCGTAGATACAATGCATAAAATAATGTTAGTTTAAATAATCTAGGTCTAATTCGAGTATACTAGCTAGTATACTGTAAATCAAATCTTTTTTTTTTGCTACTACACACTCGCTTTCCACGTCTAAATATCAATGGGCGTATGGTTTAGAGATATAATCTCTCATCCGCATTCGTCGTGACTTGAGATGGTTTTGGGTTTGATTTCTAGTACGTTTATAACCTTCCTTTTTTCAAACTAGGATTATCAAGTTGTGTTGGTCGGGAACTGATGCACAGGTCATCACTAGGATGCACGGAACGTGTCAAAAACACCTTTTTTTTCTCTCTTTTTTTTCTTTTTTTTTGTTTAATTCATTAATTGCATGCAACCTTACAGTTATGGCAATTGTCAAAAGCACCTAAGTATAGACAGTAGTTACATGTACATAGTCAATAGAGAACTGATTATTGCATAATTATATGGTCTTGTTATAAAAGTTTTGGCCTCCTATCTCTAGGTGGAGCGGAAATGTGTACCTCTAATATTAAGCAAAGTCGTCGGGAAAGTCGTTTCTGGGGTCCCAATTATCGCTGGGTAATGTCAATATTTTGGTGGAGGGAAAGTCGTTTTAAGGGAAATTGGACGACTTTACAGACGATTTTTTAATAATTTACAAATGACTTTACCGACGACTTACTGATGCCTTTACCTGTCACGCTTCTGTCACTCATTTTGGGCGTATTACCAAGGGGGAATAAGTTTTGGCCACCGGTAATGCTTCACATGATTGACCAAGGCCACCGCCAATGAAACGAATCATCACAGAGCATCCTACTATTATACCTGAAGCATCAAGTCAGAATACCCTACAAGTATATGCCAAACAATGGATCCACCAAAATGAAATTGTATTCCCCAACTGTTACAAGCCCATTGATGCCAGATACCATTTGATGACTCCACCGAAATATTCTATTTGGGGACTCAACTATCTCGAGATCTAGAGGAGGGGCTTCAACGGAAAACATTGATTTTCCGGCGGAAAGAAGAAAACCCCAGAAACAGTCAGTAAAGTCGTATTTTATTGCCTTTTACATGCCTTTAGCATGCCTTTAGCATGCCTTTAACGGGGAATGTCGTCAGTAAAGTCGTAACTTATTGCCTTTAACAGGTAAATGCATCAGTAAAGGTGTCGGTAAAGTGTCGGTAATGGGACAGGAATGCCTTTAACAAAGTACAGCGAAAGCTTGCTATAACGGTACTTTCTATAAGAGTAATCTCTCTATAACGGTAGCACTTCTCGGTCCTTTTTGCCTGGCTTTCAGCACCAGCACCTCCTATATAAGGGTAATCTCTCTATAACGGTACCAAATTCCGGTCCCGAGCGTACCGTTATAGCAAGCTTTCGCTGTAATGCGGTTATTGCATCAAATAATGTGTATCTCGCAATCTTTTGTATGGGAAACGTCAAAATTGATGCATTTCCACTCCTACTAGAGTATGTCATCAAAGTTATTGGGGTTTCGGATGGGTCGAAAAGATATTTTTAGTGCTATGCACTAAGACTGCTACGGTAAAGTCAATGATAAATATATATTCGTTTTTGTCAAAGTTTTCGGTTCACTCCGACTCCAGTAATCAAATGTGAAATTCGGTTAGTTGAAGATACGTACATGGATAGATTATTGTTTCATTTTGATCATCATCCTCGTCATATTTAGCAGCTCGAGATAATCACGATTACATTAGTCCCTCAAGAAAGGTAATTTCATAAAAAGTACAAAGAGGAATGCGCAGGCAGAGTGAGCATTAGATTTAGTTTTGACTAGCCAGTAGAAATGATAGTATATGCATGAATACATGTATGAATACCAAGTATATACATAAACATGGGTGTGTTTCTGGTATTCGGGGGGTGTTTGGTCAACCACCATCAGATGGACAAAATTTGCCAGCGAATGGTAGGGTATCTAGAGAAGGTATCCAAGTACTCAGAATCAATTCAACATGTCTCTAAATTGTGATGTAAGAGCTGAGGCCAGGAAAATGTGAAGATACTAAAAATATGGAGGATGAGATTATTGTGTCGATAAATCTGCTTCTGAACTATATAGAATTAAATCACACTATCTATAAAATAACTTTAAGTAGTTGTTTAAGACGATTATAAAAGTTAGCTTTTATCAATTTTTGATATTTGATGGGGTTTCCCTCGACGACGGTTGGCAACACCCAATTACCAAACACCCCCGGGTACGAGAACAAACACACCCACATGTATAGTCGAAGTTGCTCAGATAGATCTGCACCTTTTAGGAGAAGGTGACTACCATGTAGGGTGGAGAACATCTCCCTCATTCCATAAAGAGATGAGACAGCGTAATAACAATCAATTCACAAAAGTCGAAATCATAACCAAAATCCATTCGATCCTTCTAAGCCAATTCCCTATATACTTCGATGAAAAATCAACGATATTGACCGCTTTTCTCTTACTACACCCATACAACTCCTTCCCCATTCCCAAAAAAAAAAAAAGAAAAAAGGAAAAAGAAAAGTTACAACTTTAGCCCAGTATTATACCGTTCTACCAATCTAAGAAGGACAAAACCGTGGTAGGCTGCATCACGCACTCATGGTATCAAAATACATCTCCATTTAAACACCTGTCCATCTAACATACCACTCTCCCCATCGTATATATCCCGGTTTAGACCGGCTGTGCGTTAGGGTCCTCTACAGCAGCAGGGTCCGCGGCAGGTTCAGCGGCGGCTTCGGCAGCAGGGTCAGCAGCAGGGGCCGCAGCAGCAGGGTCCACAGTAGGCGGTGCTTGCTGGGCCTGCTGGGCCTGGGCCTGGGCCTGCTGGTTAAGACTAACACCAGTGCCGACGACATTTGTGAGTGCGTCAATGCCTTGGAATACAGTGTCGGGGTTATTCCATTGGCTGGGTTGGTTCTGCTGATTGTTCTGCTGATTGTTTTGCTGATTGTTCCTATTATTTCGGTTGTTTTGCTGATTGTTTCGATTGTTGTTATTTCTGTTTCCGGTATTCTGCTTATTATTCCTGATTCCAGTATTCTGCCTGTTGTTTCTGTTTCCAGTATTCTGCTTGTTGTTTCTGTTTCCAGTATTCTGCTTATTCCCTCTATTTCCGGTATTCTTTGGAGTGTTCTTCGCTGGTGTTTTCCTCGGTGCGTTATTCTTTGACGGGGTTTTCCTCGGTGTGTTATTCTTCGCCGGGGTCTTCTTCACTGCGTTGTTCTTTGGCTGAGTTTTCTTCGTAGCGTTAGTCTTTGGTGCGGTCTTCTTTGCCGGGGTTTTCTTCGCAGCGTTGTTCTTTGGTGCGGTCTTCTTTGCCGGGGTTTTCTTCGCAGCGTTGTTCTTTGGTGGGGTCTTCTTCGCCGGGGTTTTCTTCGCAGCGTTATTCTTTGGTGCGGTCTTCTTTGCCGGGGTTTTCTTCGCAGCGTTATTCTTTGGTGGGGTCTTCTTTGCCGGGGTTTTCTTCGCAGCGTTGTTCTTTGGTGCGGTCTTCTTTGCCGGGGTTTTCTTCGCAGCGTTATTCTTTGGTGGGGTCTTCTTCGCCGGGGTTTTCTTCGCAGCATTGTTCTTTGGTGCGGTCTTCTTTGCCGGGGTTTTCTTCGCAGCGTTATTCTTTGGTGGGGTCTTCTTCGCCGGGGTTTTCTTCGCAGCGTTATTCTTTGGCGGGGTCTTCTTCGCCGGGGTTTTCTTCGCAGCGTTGTTCTTTGGTGCGGTCTTCTTTGCCACGTTAGTCTTTGGCGGAGTTTTCTTTGCGGCATTAGTCTTCGGCAGGGTCTTTGGCGGGGTCTTCTTTGCAGCGGGCGGGGTCTTCTTTGCTGCTGCTTTGGGCGCCGCCTTCGCTGCTGCTTTGGGCGCCGCCTTCGCTGCCGCCTTGGGCGCTGCCTTTGCTGCCGCCTTGGGCGCTGATTTTGCTGCTCCCTTTGCTGCTCCCTTTACTGCGATTTTTGCGATTGCGCCGAAAATTGGCTCACGTTTATGACTAGTTCCGCATAGACGATATTAATATTCTCATTGATACATAGCATGGGTGAAATAAGGATTACTGACAGAAAACTCCGCTCGAAGATGGGTTGATCCACAACTGAACGACGGTCGAAATCAATAATTTCTCTTCGTCTGATATCACTGATGTCATCTCTTCGTGATACTACATGGTCCGCAGCCACTGAAGTCAAGAGAAGTGCATAGCACAGAACGGCGGTGATCTTGCTCATGGGAGACATTATTTATACTAGCTTGACTAGATGATAAAAGGATATACGTGAGTATTGATTAGTTTTCCAATAAAACGTTCGTCATATGCATGGCTTTAACAAACCTGATATATCAAAAAAGAGCGTGGGTGTCTAGATCCAGCCTAGAACTGTCTGAAAAGGAAGAAAAAAAGATGAAATAAAGGAAAGTAAGAGGGAAAAAACAAGAAAAGAATGTATATGGAGCCTTCGTTTCCCCAGGAAGCTTGAAGTGTTGGAATTCTCTTTGCCGACGCGACCCTCCCACGTTTATAAGTTGCGGACCATGACCAATCTATAATCCTGAACTGCAACATGATATCTTACTGAAAACGCCCCGGTAAAAGTGAGGATCTTTCCGGTCAGAGGGTTTACACTCAGTAAAGCTGTCAATAAGGTTTTCCTCATAAGTTAACAGGTTAATCCGACGTACTTTGGGGCCATGCCTCTTATGTTCCGACAGGTTGTGGGGCGCAAGCCTTGGCGCGCCAAGATTACTGTGAAACTAAGCCTTCTAACGTAGGACCTGTACCGGTAACTTTTGTCATAACTTCTGACTTTGAATGGGTACAACAATGTACCAATCTACATACCGATATATTGCATTGATGGAATGCCCCGGATCTGACATTCAGGATATAAATGGAGGTTCCACATATAACTACCGCATTAACTGGTGAGGTCCGACAGATATTACCAGCAGGCAAGTATATCAGCTAACCCCTTGTAACTGTATGATATCACGAGTTTTTATAAGACGTTATCCAGGAAGACAATACATATGTTCGCTAGAGCCTCTTATTCGATGAGGGTGTGTACCTCTGGTTCTCAGCTCAGAAGAATAAACAGCCCTCGAAGTTCGGTGTATACGGGCATGCTCAGGTGCTTTTTCCAGATTTGAGATATGCGGTGCATAAATGTGTTTACTCGAACGACTACTATGTGGCTACCAACGAGGATGGCAAATAGAATATCCAATATTTTGTCGCGTACTGAAAAAATGTATCGTACGGTCAAAAAAAGAGAACCCGGTAAATAATGATAGAAGCTTCCACCTCCCTTCTTCGAATGTGTCGGTTAGACATCCTAAGTGACCACATTCTTTTCTTTGAGGATCATTACCGAAAAGCTTCTTTTGGGTAGGGATCATACTAGTAGTCTCGCAAGCTTGCTGTTCATGAGCTTCGCTATCTGTGGCCCAGTGGGTGCAGTCTAGTGGTCGCTCGGTCTGCGCTTCCCCGGGCCAGGCATCATGTAGAAAACCCTTGGCCCCGTTCATAGCTAATTATTAATGTTAGAGGAAGAGAAAGACCGGAATACAGCATTGCCTCGCGTGCACCGAGAGAAGGAATGTAGTTGATTTGGTGAGGTCTTGGCACAGGCGCCCACTTACCGCGATAGAGACATAAAGTAGATTGTGCTTGTCAACATCACGCCCACTCAGATAGTACGCCGATATATCGATAGATGTGCGGTTTCGTTACATTTTACCTCAATTTTGTAAGTATAGGTACTTGTCTATCAAAGTAGAAGATCAGGGGTATAGGAGCTTCGCGGGTTCGGTGAGCGTGAGCATTCTTGGCAATTTAGGTAGCTATGCTCATCTCACGTGAGGTAAGTTCATCGATTTAAGCAAAAATAACCAAACTCACTGTTGACAATTATGTGGAAAGTAATAGCGTGACACCTTTGATGTAACTTCAGGAAGTCCGTGATATATCATTTATCCACTAGTTTCCAGTAAGCTGGTCAGGCCCCGAATGTCCTTGTTTTGCGTAATACTACATGTAGGTACTCTCTAACCGAATCATACTCCATGATTAGTGCCAGACCAGGCTCTAAAAAGTACCAAGTCAGATTCTATGATCGAAGTGCCGAACCAGAATCGATGAAGTGGTGGTAGTGAAGTACCAAATCAGAATATATGAAGTAGTGTTGAATAGTGAAAATGAATAAGACTAAAACATGCATCCTTCCATATGCTAGTGAGCGGCAAAAGTGAAAGAAATATCATCTGAATAAGGAGAAGTGGGGAAATACAGATTAGCCATGATCTTGCACTCACTAGTACGCGTTGACAGTTAACTGCGTGGAGTGGTTACTATTCCGTTTATCTCCAGTTGTGTAGTATTTCCCACCCTTAATCATACTTGAAAGGATGCACTGTTGACAGGTTGATCATAGGGAGGCGATAGTTTTGTTTTGGGCATCGGGGGTACCGCTACCAGCAGAGGTGCTGGTTGTGTAGCGCATCCAGAGGTGGGTCCCCTTCCCTTGCCGTGGTGGAGTCCCGTACCTGGAGCACTTTACCAGTCGTGCATGGGTGCAATCCCGCGAGGTGCGGTCTGGGCGTTTGGTATACATACTACTATATGTAGCAATATCTTGGCACTGGAAAGTTTGACCAGCTTTGGTGTCGGTCCGAAAAGCTTGTTTTGCAACGAAGATGGTGCATGAGAATAAGCAGAGAATGGCGGACTAGAAAAGTGAGCGGTAGGTATCAGAGCTCCCCGGATAACGGAAATCAACCTTCATCTCATCGCATTGCAGTGTAGAAAAGATCTCAAGAACCACACCGGGCGGAGATCACAAGACCTGACAAAAGTTCCTTCATACCACACAAGATATGATTTTTCCCCCCTCAAGGACTTAGCTATCTAATAGTTTGAGTGTTGATATGTCTGATCGCACCTTGTCTCGTTAGAGCCGGAAATGACTTTCATACCAGTTTTTGACCCTTCGTTTATCGCTCTTCTCGAACGCAATATTGAGCTTATCTACGGAGAAAAAAAATAGTGCGTACGGGAAATATAATCCCAATTTCCAAGTACATGGGCCTACAGAATCCCACTTTTCCTTCGGGTGCTCAACTTAAACTATCAGAAGCACCAAGTCCAGACTGCAAGAACCGGGAAGATTTATCACCAGCGTCCACCCCCACGGCCCACCTCCCAACCCCATTGACAAGGATACTCTCACCGCGCCTCATAATGATAGTCCATCCAACCCTTCTATATTTCCTTCCGCACCCGATTTACCCTCGCTTGCTCCCGTCCCTAAATAGTGGTAACGGTTTCTGGTAGCATTCGTCCGTAATGAGCACATAGATATGTAGGGTGGAGTGCATGTACTCGTATTTCTCTGACGTTTGTGGACGCGACAGATATTGCATGCCATACAAAAATACGCCAAGCTCATGATTTTGGGTGTATGCAATAATGGCCCAGTTCAAAAACGTCAGAGAAATACTAGTACTATGGTTTATCTTGTTCTACATGCATCCATGTAGGTCTTGCAGTGGAGAACGCAAAACAATATACTTGACTGGTGTTTGTTCCTGCGTAATTAAGACTCGGTGTATGAGAATAGTTATAGGGCCGAGATCAAAATAGAGGATTCTTCACATGATCTCCAAAGACCATACACATGGAAACTCCATAGAGTATTCGGCTGGTTTTAGTTTAGGTTCTATGATTAGGGCCAATGTGCATGAGAAATTGTCTATAATGTACGTACCCTGGCGATGACGTATCCTTAAGGCGGAATCAACTGTTAGTTCAACTTAGGATCCCATTCCACTGTAATTTCAACTACGTGTAACTATCAAAGATCTCAAGAGGCCAAAAATATGCATGCATCTCTCTCAATAGCAACCCTTTGGATCATCAGGTTGGTACTGTAAGGTTTTCTGGTTTACTCTACCAAATCGGTGGGATCATCTTCTCCGCTTTTAAAATACATATGACTAATTTGCCGTCCTCATCATGGCTCGAATATCACTCGATAGCATCGTTTCAACAAGGGTTTAGAAACATAACCTCCTTATTCAAACATCATTTGCCAAACGCACTCTGGAGGTGTATCAATCTTATCACCGACTCGGGTGAGTGATATTTCATGCCTCCCGGGATGGCCTTTAGCAGGGGACCAATGAGAATCTCCTTCATTCCGGCAACCAATCAACCTCACATAACCCTCCACCCCCCTCACCCCTCACCCCTCCCCTAAAAAAAACCATATGGCTCGAGAAGCTATGGTGGGTAGGTGTGTAAACTTCGGCGTTTGTAGCTAATCAATCTATAGAAATTGGGAGATCTACTCCCATAATGGTACTAACGCCTAGCCCAACGGTGGAATTTTCTCTAATTCCCATGCAAAAAAAGTTCCTCTGAAGTTGGCACACCCACCCCCTATGCCTTCTCGCGCCATAGTCCTTAGTTGTTTCTGGAAACTCCCGCTGACGTGCATAACATCGAAGGGGGCTCGACATACTCACTAAAGCCCGAAGAGGGCTTGTATTCCTTCTAGTTAATACTCGGAAACGACCGGCGGATGACAATGGGAGTACTGGACCTGGAGGTGCGACGCCCAAGCAAGATCGAGACCGGTGTAAACGAATGAACGACAAGAGCCCGCGCAGGAAGTACTTACCATAGGCGTTTTCAAATACCCAGATGGATCTTGCGAACCGAAGGGATTTCGGCACGAATAACACGCATATGTAGGTACGAATACGCCACAAAATGCCGCTACTACTGAACTGTTGTTGGCCTATCGAATTGGAGACGGTTACCACATTCTCATATGTATATATGTAGTATTAAGATTATTGATACTGCAGAGCGAAGAAGTGATGACACCGCGCCATACTCTGGATGAAATTCAAGGCCTCCATTCTATGTATTTGAACAGGGCCGTGTGAGCAACAGCGTCGAAATACGGTACTGTAGTTGTACTGCCTACAGCACGCAAGGACAATGGAATTGGAATGCCGTACAATCTAGCGGGAATCCGGAATACCGATCAGACAGTACATCGGCGAGGTGAAACAAAGTTGTGTAGAGTTCCAGTAGAGTATGCTTCCTTCTAGCCCCGAGACTGGAGAGCTGGGCGATACATGCAATCTTTGGCATTACTCCACATATATAATCTGTTTCGTTATGTAACATCTTGGTTAGCTTGTCTAGGTATGTTTCGCCAGGCAGAGCTTTCACTTAATAGAGGCACTACTCTTCAGTCATCTCCTCGCGTAAGTTTGGTATGGAGCCCATTGGTTGTTCAAAGATTGAGTTCTGTGTGAGGCAACAGAAAAAAAGAAAAATCAAATTCCGGGGACGTTCGACTAGCGCAACGACCGGATGGAAGGCCGGGACGTGCGTGCATATATGGTACACCATACATCATTATTAAAAGCCCGGGCTTGTTTCATCGCCACATAAATTTTTCTCTGCACGTAGAGGAGTTGCTAACAAGCCCAGAGAGTAGCATATGAATGAGAGTAAAGATTGGGTAAATGTGAATATTTGATCAATTGGTGGAGGAGAAAGAGCACCGGTTTAAAGAACATCGGCTCAAAGAGCAACGGTTTGAAGAGCACTGGTTTGAAGAGCACTGGCTTGAAGAGCACTGGTTTGAAGAGCACTGGCTTGAAGAGCACTGGTTTGAAGAGCACTGGCTTGAAGATTAATTATTTCGGAGCAGTAGGGAATCGGCCCCTGGCCGTCATCCCTGCAGTGCCGGGGACTATAGTAGGTGATCGACAGCTACATGTGTCCACTCTACCGTTGCGCTGGTACCCCAATTCTTTAGTGGAGGTGGCTTCTTCTTGGTCTACCTCCAGAAGTGGGTAACCAAACGAGTCTCCCGAGACTAGAAATGTGATATAGTCCCTTTGTCTGTGCTCGGTTTACACACTGGTACTGCATACATACATGTAGTGATGTGCAAAGATCTGGCTAGAGGAGTTGATGGTGCCAGAAGGTGGAAAGAAAAGGTCGCAAGTGGTGACTTGTTTGTGAAGCGGTTCACTAGATATGGTGATATATTAAAGTTCTTCTGAAAGTATAAATTATACTATGTACCGTCAATACAGATGAAGGCCTAGGGATTGGGATCGGGACCAAAGGATAGAAGTTCCTTATCTCTGGACATAGGGCTGGTGCTGGGCACAAAGGATCAAAAACCTGACATATCCACTGCCTTCTCAATATCACAAAAGCGTCTGAGAACTCGTTTTTTTATAGAGATTATCCTTATAAGAGGTATCGGTATAGAAGGCTTTCGCTGCATGTCCGGGACTTCAATCATTGGCCACCAACTTAGATGTGTACTACATAGTGTAACATTGGCTCCCTCCATGGGCATCTGGGACCCCGCAAACGCAAGGAAAAACAAGGGGAACATGACAGCTAGAAGTAACTAGGGGGGGCAGAGGGATGATCGCTGTGTGCTCAAACCTCTCCAACTCAATTCCATCGTATGCATGCATGTGTAAAAGGGCACAGGGGAAACAGAGAAATTTTAGTCAAAGATCGTCCTGTGCCTTAAAGGGAGAGCAAGGAAAAGGAGAAAAAGACGTGCCCCGATTCGTCATTGAATTCTGACAGCAGTTAGCTTTGTATCTGAAATACCTAAATCTCAAAGGTAGGGTGTATATAGTTGCAGAGTTGGGGGGGGGGGGAGCCCTGTTGTAAAGGTACATGCATCTGGTCAGACGTAGTACTAGTCGTTGGCTAGCTACATATATAGCAAGTATCCATCCCACTAAAGATGGAACACCGGAGACCCGACTACCCAAATCCCTACCCCCCATTGGCACCCTACTCTATCTACCAGCCATTCAAAAGCCGTCTTCTGGTAGCTAGCTACCCTACCCTATCTCGTCTTTAGATACCCGCTCCCATAACCAGGGAGAAATAGCCCTCAAGCTCGATCTCTTAACCTCCACCACCAACTGCCCTTAACACAATGACGGACGTCGACGCGGGTCTCACAGATATCAAGCTCGCCTCAATTTCAGCTGGTATCACGATAGGAGTTGGGTTTTTTACAGGATGGGAGGCGTACAAGACGACGATGCAGATTCGAAAGCCGTTTAAATCGGTCTTCGTATGGATGATCTGGGGTGAAATGATCGCATGTACTGCGATTACGATTCAAGGGTGGTTACTGTTAACGAACCAAACACCATTAAAGTAAACCACTTCCTTCAATATCTTCCACTACCATTTATTAGAATAACTGAGCTAACTGACATGTGCTCACGATAGTATCCCATACGCGGTTATACTGCTCACATTCTGGGTTTTCCAAGTCCAACTCCTTATGCAGATTATCATCAATCGATGTGCTGTAGTAATGTTCGATAAACGAAAAGCGAATCATATCAAGTGGGGAACGGCTACCTTGGTAACAATGATCAATATAAGCGTTTTTATTATCTGGGTCCCAGCACATGCCCAAAAGAATGCGAGGTAAGCGAATAATCTCGAAGTCGTGCGATAGAATAAACACTAAGACTCCGCCTCATTAACCCGCAGATACCTTGCAATAAATGAAATATGGGATCGAATTGAGAAAGTGATTTTGCTACTTATTGACGCAGCCCTCAACTGGTATTTCGTTAGAGTGGTCCGTCAACGATTAGTTTCCCAAGGCCACACTAAATACGACAAACTCGTTGCCTTCAACATCCGTATTATCACAGTTTCTCTTGCCATGGATGTAATACTTCCCCAAAGTCTCTCCTGATTTGC